ACACGAAGAACTAAATTGGCAAACGTTATCAAAAACAATATTTATTAAAATGGAAAAATATATTAAAAAGGGAAATTTATTTATTTATTTATTATAGATGATAGTAAAGTTTACAAAACTGAGACTAATATATGGTGGTGTAGTGCTAGCTGCGGCGCCTTCGACTACGTATTATTGTAGGTTAACGCAAATTATTTATTTTATTTTGCCTTGTTTTATGATTTTTTTTCCTTCAGAATGGATCTTACAATAGAACCCCCTTTTCATTAAAATTTTAAAATTGTTCTTTGTTGTTCTTTTCATATTTTATACTCTTTTAAAAACTTCAAGAAATAAATGTGACTTAAATAAATTCAAACTTATTTGTTTAAAATTGTGTTTTTTATATTTTTTGTACTTACATTCTAAAAATTATATACAATCTGTTTTAAATTAATTTTTAAAGTGTTTGTCCCTTTTCCCCAGTGCAGTGATTGAATGGACAAGCGTCAGTTGCATTTTGTAGATTTTGTGTGGACTTTCAAGTTCGTTGCATTCTGTTACATTTCGGGCGGGACTGAATGGATATCTAGGGGCGGAGTGCATCCGAAATTATGACCACTCGGACCCAATTTACTGGCAGTGTGCCAAGGCCGCTGACGTCGTTGTGGGGCGGCTGACAGCTCATTGGAATTTGGAATTTTCATTAGTGTTACAAGTGTGCCGCCATCGAGACGGGCGGCCAAGTCGCCAAGCCAACAAACCAGAGGAAAAACGGCGACGGCGACCTTTCCAAATCAAAATACACACGCATGGGGCGGGGTCATATGGTCACGTGGCCAGAAGTGTGTGTGTGTGTGTGTGCAAGTGAAATATCCAAACAAGCTCAAGATTAATGTGTTGCGGGCAGTGCAAAAGTTTTCAAATGTTTGGCATTGCATGCTTTCAGGGGCGTTGCTAACAGCTTTCGTTTCCGAGCCATGAAAGAGCTACCATATTTGGTTGAAAACGGCTTTAAAGCCACGACTAATTCCTGCACATATTTTCAATAACATCTTGTTGAGAATGCACTACATTATATATAAAAAACAATTCAAAACTATTTCAGATATGTATGTATATGAGTTAACAAATTTACACACAATCAACGGAATTTGGTAATTATATGAACAATGTCCTATTTTTTGGAATTTTAAGACTACGATAATTATTACGGAAATTGTTTCCTAAATGAAACATAAAATAGACTTTTCGTCTAAGTAGTGTTTTAAGTTGTTGTTCCTTTTTAATAAGGTTATTATTTTTAAATTAGGGTATTTTATTTTCTGGGTCTAATGTTGAGAGATATTATTGAACTAAAAATTTCAGTTTGTTAAAATTTGGACACAAATATAACAAGGATGTATATAATAACTGGAATTGGTTGTTGAAATTATTTAATTTAATGGGATTTATATAATCCCAAGGAAATTAAAACCATAATTAAATCAGTTAAAGTAATTTTACTGATAGTTATTTTGCTATTTAAGATTGTTTTTGTTCAAATAATTTTAGGAGTTTCGAAAGTATTCCTTTTCGTTTAAAAAATTACTGGTTTTTAAAATGTGAACAAATATCGTAAAAAGAAGGCACAAAAAAGTTTAAAAATTCCTGTGAAAGGGTTAGGCTCTCTAGATTGCTGGGTTTGGCTGCCGCAGTTTTTGTGGCCAGTCAACTTTGGAGTAGCGCTAATGTGTAAAACTATTTAAGTACCCCAGCCCCTTCCCCTTCGCCCCCTAACAAACAATGTTGCAAATTGCCGCCCGCGTTGTTGCTGTTTTGGTAATTGCACTTGCTGGTTTATTACCCGCACAGCCATAAAATGTAATGCACATGATGTAAGTACTTAAATATGGCAAAGGCTTCGCAGATGCGTAGCCCCAAAATTTTGACTGCTGTCAATGTCAGTAAAATGTACACATATTACTCCCATTCCCCACTCCCATCCACAAACGCCTAAATAATTTCACCTGACATTCCGTCGACGTTTATCGGGGATTCGACAACACTAAGCAAACAAAAGTCAAAGCGGATTTGTCAGTGTTTGTGGTGTAATGTTCATACATTGTTTTCTTTTGTCCTGTCTCATTGTTTGCATGTGTGGTGCCAAAGGAAAAGCGAAGCAATCAAGGATTGCGGCACAAATAAATCGCAATGCTTTTTGCATTTGACGCACCAAAATATTCACAATGGCCGGGGCAGCACTTTAGCTATTTCTTGCCACTACAGTGGAACTTCGACAACTCGAATCTTAGTCAAAAAGACTAGCTTTGGATAAACTTCTTATTAAATTATTAAAAAAACAAAAAAAAATTAAGCTTCCAATTTCAAACAGATATTTTAGAAACTTATTAAACGAAAGCTTATAATATCTTGGCATTTAGCTTTATAAGATATTCTTAGCTTTTTTTGAGAATATATTGAGAAATAACGTATTAAAAAAAACTATTTTACTATGAAAATACCATCAATGGTAAATAGGAATCTATAGGAAATGCAATTTGTTTAAAGCAATTTTAATAAACATTTTAAAGTATTTTTGACTTTACACTGTGCAAATTGATATTCCCTAAATACATTATAAAACTCAATGGCTTCATCCAGCATTCACAATATCTAAACTGAATTGCAGAATATTCATGTCGCAGCTGCAAAAGTTTATCTGTGGGTGCGTCAGAATTTCCCAGGTCTAAGTTTGGGGTTCAATCCTGAGTGCATGTGAGTGTGCGTAAACAATTCCGCTGTGGTTAATGGATTTCCTTTTGTGTTATCAAAAGCATTTTTAGCCTACATCACACACGCTTCCATAAATATCCAATTCACAAACTATTTCAATTACAAAACAATGGAGAGAAAACTCGACTGAAACCAGTGGAGGTACACAAGTACCTGTGTGAGTGTTCTTGGGAAAAATGGGAAACGGGCTTTTATATTTCCCTCTGCCAACCCACAAGTGCCGTTACATGCACGCGGTTTTATACTGTTCGGGTTCAAAAAATAGCACTGATTGATTGCCCTTTAAGAAAGGTAAAAACTTTTAAGCTTTCAAAAACTTTTTTCAATGTAATTAAAATGCTTTTATAATTATTAATTACTTCCTAGGATTACCAAAAAATCATTTAAATTCCTCATCTAAAATTAATTGTCTCTTCAAGCTGCCAAATAAAGTGGAACTGTAATTTGAACTCCTATAAGAAGCAATTAATTTAATTTGCCATTTTTTGAGCCAATATTTACTAATCAAATATATTGGCAAACAAAACCGTCAGAGGTCTGAAGATAATAACATTCTGCTGCAGGCTGCTATTAATTTGGTCACATTTGTACATCTACTACTGTGTGTTTAGACCTGTTCTCCTTTGCTAGTCGCTGAAATATTTATATGCAAATAAATAGTTTAGCAAGCTATCAACTTCAACATAGCTTAATGCGCGTGTGTGTGGGTGCCATTGTCATTATGCGTGGTGTACATATATCAGGGGGCGGCACTCGGCAGGGGGCGTGTCATAAACAACAGCACACACACATTATAATGGCTCACAGATTGCCACAGAGAATCCTTCGAGCTCGGCGTATTATTACCCGTTAATGGCGTGTGGCATTTAATTGCTAATCTATTAGTGCGAAGACAAGACCTTGAGGTGCTACGGTTTAGACCCGGCTGTAAGATAGTCATATTGGGTTAGGTCAGGGAATGGGAAAATTGATTTAATTGCCTGGAATTTGTCTTAATTATAAAATCAATAGGAAAACAAAGGCTTGTGGAATTTGCACAAGAATGAGCCGCTTAATTAACCAGCATGTCTGTTTTAGTTCAACGGAATTTACTTTTATGTCAGATATGTGTTCAGCTTTTTGTGATGTGGTATTTCTGATACATATGTTATGGTTTTGTTACGCCGTAATCGACCGTAATGTAATTTAATGGAGGGCTAAAAAAGCCAATCGACCAAGAGGCAATCAAAACAAACTCGAACTATGGCAAAAAGCAAGTGCTGGGGATCAAATTACGCAAATAGTCGGGCGCATAAAAAACCTAAAAGCAAAACAAAAGGTTTTCAGTAAAGAATTTGCATTGGCGAAAAAAAAAAACGATTGCTCTGAAATATTCACATACACAGCAACATAGTGAAGCTGTTGATTTTCATTACCTTGCGCAAATAGAGGGAAAGTCATTAAAAATTTTAATGAAGAAAGTTTTTTCTTTGTTTCCCGTTGTCACCGTCATCGTCGTCTTTGGCGCCGCCGCCTCAACTTGATATTTAAATTTTGTTTTGTTAGCAGTTCTCCGCTTTATTGTTAACAACAATCGGGGCTATGGCGGCATTAGCATCCGCATCCTCATAAGCGGCAACTCCTGCGCCCGGCACATGATTTATTAGAGCGATAAAGTGATTAAATTAAAATTGATTTATATGGCAGGAGCAACGGGGACAACTAGCAGACGGATGCCTCTTATATCCTGATTATTTTCCTTTGCTTATGCTCCAAGAAAAAAGGCGGCTTCCCCTGCGATGTAAAAACTTACTAATTTATGCAAAGCAGGCAGACTGCTTGAGGCTCTGCTGCGGGACGACATGGCGTATGATTAACCTAAATGTTGTGCGGCCCTGATTTTCCCCTGCTTTACATTTAAATTACCAAACTAAAAAAATACCGCTCGGAGCCAAAATTATTTCCCGCTGAGAAAAAGGTCCTGTTTTCATATCCTTGTGTGGGCTATGATGTATCTTGTGTGTTTTTGCGGCTTGTTTGTGCTGGCAAAAAGGACAGCTACGCAACTAATTTGCCCAGTACAAATAAAGAGCCAAATAAATAAAGGGAAATTGACGAGCTTTTACCCGCACCAAAATTCGATCCAAGCCATGTTTATTGGATTTCGAATCCGATGGGATTCTTTCTGCCATTTAAACTCCTCTGGGTTGTGAGCTGCAACACAGTTGCCAAGTATTTACGGCGATGATAGCCCAAACTCTACTCACCGTCGGATGCAGTTCTTCCTGCCTCTATCGGAGCCACAATTTCTTGTCCCGTTGCCCCGAGGGGATGTCCTTCGTCCTGCTCAAATTTTCCGGGGCTTTATTTTTTATTTCTTATATTTTACCGTTGCCTGGACGGCTGTTGTGGTTCTTGCACTGACGTTGCGGTCCAAATTGAATTTCACTTGGAAAATATACGACCATGATTAATCACTTAACGAAGGCGGGATGGTCTCAACAGGACCAAGGATAAAACCCGTACAAGCCGAGCCTGACGCGGAGGACCGCATTCCGTTAACTCGTTTGCTGCAACTGATTCGATTTGACAGATTTCGGCCAGCCATAAGCTTTCAAGAATCTTTTTTAAAATCCTTATACAAATTTTAATTTTTGTTGATTTTGGGAAAACGTAATTCAACCATCCCTTTTTATCAATCGATTAATGAGAAAAATATATAAAACAATTTTCGATTTTCACTTTAAAAGGTTTTTTAAAAGATATTTTAGTGTAATAATGTTTTATTCGTATCGACTTGAATAGTTAATGAATTTAGCCAATTTTTTTTCCAATAAAAATTAAATAAGAAAAGGTCTTCACAAAATTTCAGAACTTTAACAACAGTTAAAATCATAAATTAAAAAAAAAATTATATTTTTAAACCACGTTATGGAAACCTTAAAAAGTGTGTATTTGAACAGTTTTTAAAAGAAATCGTTTTCATACAAATTTTAATTTTAAATTTGTAAATTTAAAATTTTTATATTTTCTTAATATAAATGCAGACATTTTTGTATACATTTCAATTTATTGTTTACCGTTTTTAAATTGTATTATTTATTCAAGTAGTTTAATTTTTACAACACTTTTTGATTGATTCACTCTGCGTTTTTTTAGCGACACCGTGTTCATTCATTGACTTGCTCAGTTCGCTCGCGAAATTCATTCACAAAAACTCGATTTTTGGCAATTAGCGGACCAAAGACCAACGCGACCAGAACGCCACTGAAAGCGACTAAAGGCGGCCGAAAAACGGAGGAAAGCACGCAGCCAGGACCTGCCGCGAAGGCTCACAGCACGGGAGTGACGAGGACGCTCGGCCGAGGACTTCGTTTCGGTCTGAGTGGAGTGACGAGCTGGCAGGATAACACACGAGGACGATGATGGCAGCTCTGCCTGCAAGAATCTACCATTGACGGTTCGCTGGGAGGCAGCAGCAGCAGCCGACCCCACACACACAGACACCCGCACACACGGACATTTGTTGCAACTGGCAGGATAACTCGAGTGGTGTAGCACACTTTTGCGGGCCGCTCGTTCGGAACAACATTTCGTCCTTCGGAAAGGGGTCCAAAGCCCGGCATTTCTCAGCTGTTCGCTTGGCGCCAAAATTCTTTGCCGTTTTTGCGCAGACGCTAGAGTGTTATACGTGTTTCATTCTCTGTATGGTAGAACAGTTTCCGCCAGGAGCGGTTCAGAATACCGATCAGGAGGTAGGGAAACAAAAACCATTGAATACTTATTAATTAGAATAATACTTTAATTACACTTTGTAACAAAGCCATTTTCCTAATAAAGCCAAACTATATAATACCAAAATGTCCCCCTTATTATTAATGAATATTAAAATGTTGCTTCATTGATACAAATTATTTATTTATATTTATCTTTACATTCATTAATTTTTGTATAAATATCTAAGAATTATAAGTTTTAAAAATATGCTAAATATGCACTATATATAAATATTTAAAAAGTTAGAGCAGAAGTTATTTTACCCATCAAAATTATTAATCCAAACATTTTTGTTATCCTTTTTGGCTATTTCCTTTCTTTCACCCTCCGTCAAGTGACAAATTTCAGCAAAAATGTGGCACATGAAATACTTGTCTACCCATTTTGCACATTTGGTATTTAAAAAGTTGTTAAGCAAACTTTCAAATTAAATACTTCGGGCTTAAATTGTGCGAGCTCCCCTGGCACACGTATATTTGAAGGGGGAAACGAGGATCTCCGGGATGTGCCAACAGCCTTTAATACTTGATGCCTGGCACAGTGCATTCTCCTCTCATTTATTGCATTTTGCATGTGTAAAGACCGTTTTTATTATTTCGCCCACGTACAGGATGTGTGAAGAGCACCAAATTAAGGAATTCTGTCTGCGAGTAATTAAAATTGTGAGGAAAGCCATAATGCGAGTGTTTACATTTGTGAACTGCCCAACTAAAGCGAGTTGAGCACCAGGCAAAGTGTTTTAATTGAGAGCTTAAGTGTTATCCTACCCCAGCAAGTATTCTAATATATTTTGATAAGTTTTGTGCTGCGAACCGAAACGGAATTGGGGAAAATGCAAATGGCAGGCCGCTTGGAACGGGCTTAAAAATGCATGACATCAATTATAAGAAGTTTTCTTAATTTTCTTCCGCCCATAACTCACATCGGTTTACTCGCAGCAACTTTTTTCTGAAGCGAACAACTCGACAAGGGCAAACGCACATGCACACATTTTCACAGAAAGCACATTTGTTTATTCCTCGATTGCGTACAAACATTTGCATTTGCATAGACAAGTTAAAAGCATCTCCTCAGCCTCCGCCCGCCCTCCAAATCCCCAGGACACTGTGAAACAAACTATGGCCAATCATCGCAAAAGGTCAGAAAATATTTTAACACCAAGAGTTATTATGCCGTAACTTCTGTGATTTTTTAAATATAAGTATATACTTATAACTAATCTTATATATATCTCCTATTTATAAATGTGTATATAAATAAGATAAAATAAGATTAAGTTATAAAACTATGCACGAACAGTTATAATTATAATTGTTAATTTTGTGTAGTAACCATGTAATAACAATAATATTTATATATATAAATAAACAGTATTCCTTTCTTGTTCTTGTAACTTTTAAATATCAAGAGTTTTTATATCATAGGGTATGGGTGATTTTAATGTCAAAGAATTAAACAAATTAATTGGAGAAATTACAATAGGTATTGTAATTTTAATATTTTGTATGCAACATATTAAACACACCTATGGTCTTAAGCAATAAAAGTTTTTTTGTGTGCACACCGAAGGACCTGAATCAGGAGCAGAATGAACTTCCTGCTGCCTGAATGCGCCTGAGTCAATGCAGCTGCCGCTGCAAATGTGTGGAAAAACTCCTGCCGCCTCCTCCTTTTCAGCATGCGAGATTGCAGATTTCATATGCAAATTTTGCACTTCTTCAGAAAATTATTCAAATTACTTGCGAGCGACAAGCGGTGCGCTCAGGACGAGTCCTTGCCCGCCCTTCCCTTATACAGGCATGGATATAAACAAAACACCTTACTCGGGGCCCCAGCAAGTCAACAGCCTTGGCCGTTTGACAGTCCCAACGATGGCAAATCTTTGCTCGGGATAAAGGAGTCAGGGGTAAATGTTGGCCCATCAATCAGCCAAAATGGCAAATGGCGGTTCGGGTTCATGGCTTGTAATCCCTTAATATTATTAAATAATTAACACGCGTTTCTGGGCTTGTTTATGGCAGCTTAGCGACCGGAAGTGATGGAGCCCAGACTTTTCTTCTAGGATTTACCCATCAAAAGATAAACGCAATTACTGAGCAGTTTGGAGCAGTGAGCCGCTTCGCGAAACATGCAAATTAGCGTGGCAACGAACGAGTTAAAGTTCGCCTTTGAAACCGAATTTGCATATTTAAATGGCATTTTGCCAGACACTTGACAGTCTAACTGGCAGTTGGCAACATTCAGTCTTCAACCATTTCCCTGCTCCTAAATCCCTGCACCCTGCTCCCTGCTCCTTGATCCTGTCACTCCACGGCGACGGTGACAGTCGGTGCCTCGTCACGTTTCTGTTGGCTCATAAAAGTGAGATTGAATTTTGAACGGGTGGGCCAGGAAACTCCTTCTCCGATCCGGAATCGCCCTAACTTTGCCATCCAGGGTGTCTGTCCTTAATAGGCCACATGAACTTGAACCCTGGCACGAGAGAGATGATGATGACGACGACGATACGAAATTGTTGCACACGCGCAGGGACAGCAAGTTAAAGTGAAAGTGTGGCTGAAAGTTTCTGACGAAAGCGGAAGTCATTAACGTCTAGTCGGAGTCGATTTAGTGTCGTGTGTGGGTGTGCCTGCAGGAACTTTATTTATAACTACCTACTCATCAGGAGACTTGATATTGCCACTGTTTTCCGCCCACTGTGCTTAATGAAGAGCGATGGCGGATTTATTTCACGGCCCGAGGTGATTTAATCAGGCGGATCGAAGCAGTTCTAACTCACCTTTGAGAGTTCAAAGTTACAAAGCAAGGGTTCAGATTTCGAAATTAGCTTTGGGCGATTGTAAATGGATGTCTGGAAAAGAAGAGCAAAACTAGACCAGAAAATTATTCCAGAAAGTCGATTTATTAAGTGACTTTCAAGTTTTCTTATAAATTCGTACACTAATGAACTTGAATTTTAATTCGAAAATGGAACGAGCAAGCTAGCTAGTTAATATAGAAGTCACTAAACACAAGTAATACATTTATTATAGAAAAGATTAAGTCTTAGCCAAAATAATTATTAATAGTCATATATCTATTTATATCTACTTCAAATGTTTTCATAAACAATCTAAAAAATGAAAAAAAATATAAAATCCAATTTAAGCTTGTAAAATGCAAGTTTAAAGTCTACATTTGACCAGAGTGGGTGCCATACAAATTCATCCCGAGTTGCATACTAATTTAGCCCTCACTATTGGCACTGATATACCTGAATTAATGGACTTCAATCAATGTGGAAAATTTGTGAGTTTCCCCTGCGCGGTTTGGGAAACCACTTTAAATCCCCGAGGATGGCCGAAAAATTGAGGACGAGCGCACAAATCAATTGGCATTCAGTTTCTCAGCATGAGATGTTTGATTGACACAACGCTAATTGGCGACCATTCGGGTTGTCCATAATGCCAGGATTAGATGGCTTACACGTGTGTGTGTGCGTTTGCATGTGGCCTTGTGTGTGGTAATCAGGATCCGAACAGTGCAGCCAAATTGTCCTCTTTCCGGACAGATATGTGCCAAAGAAGCGGAAAAATTTTATATTTATGTATTCCGATGGGTTTTTACACCATTTTGGCCATGTTCAAACTAAATAAATCGTAGAAAACTATCTGTCTATCATCTTTATTCTGCTGTTGGTTTTCAAAATTGACTGCTGGCAGCACTGAATTCAACTTATTGTGAGACGGCATCATCCGCTTTGCCCCTAAGGCGACTTGAAACCCTGGCGTTAAATACAAGACTCCAACAAATCTAATCACAAGCTTGGGTATAGTTTGCTCGCCAAATAAATCACGGTGCCAAGCCACCAATATCCTGGCAATCGAAGAAGACAGTTGACAAGGATTCGGAATACACGGAATGATAAATCGAAAATATTTTCACTTGTTTACACAAAACAATTCGGGACGACAGACAATCGACTGAAAGCTTGACAAAAATGTCCGACATCTTCCCCAACTTTCCTTTTGACCAGCACTCAATAAAAAGTAACACAGACTCCTCCAACCACAAGTCGTTTTCTTACACTCTAAGAAATAACGTAGACAATTGAAAATAAGATTAATATTTTTTTAATATTTATATACTTTTCCGACATACTTTTTTTCATAAAGGATCTTATGTTTGTTTTGAGTAAATATGTTTTTAAAATAATTTACCAAATTAAAAAAAAAAAATTTATATAAGTCGTTGACATAATAGAATTTATTTAGAAAAATAAAATATACAAATATTATATACAAAAATAAAATAACATATAACAAATTTAAACAAAGCTGTAACAAACAAAATTTCAATAAAAAAGTAAAAACATGTGGTATAACTTTAAATAGTTTTTTGACTGTAGGAGCTCCGTTTAATGAACGAACAAACAGAGGATTACGCTGCCAATGGACAGTGACTTGGCACCATCCCCCTGCCATCCTGAATCGAGTTGAGTAAACAACTTGCGCGTCCTTGGCCACTTTTAGTCCTGCCACTCGCACTGCTCTTTCAAGTGTTAATTGTGTGCGTGATTTAAGCTTTTCGGGGGCAGAGAACACGCCGGGATCCAAAGCCACCCTCTTGACCATTTCGAATAATTGCTTTTTGATTGAGTTCAATGCTGCGGAGGCTTTCCTCCGCGCTCAACTTAAATTTGAATTCCCAATATCTCGGCACCCGTCGAACGAAGCGCATCCCAGTTATTACATTACTCCCATCTAGAATTATGTTTTACCCACTGGAACTTCCAAGGCCCCGTCGACCACTTTACTGGAATTACAAAGGCAATAATACTGGACTCATCCAGACGCAGCAGGATCCTAAAAATGGTAGTCGATTGGGAAAACTGTGGTGTCTTTTACTGCCTTATCTCAAGGGGTATGCTGCAGAATCATCCGTACACGGTATACGATATTTGGCCGATCCCAAGATGAAGAAATTCGAGAGGTAAGTTGAGAATGGCAATTAAGTAAATTTGCTTAACAAATTTAAATTGACAAGGTAAATAAAAGTATACTTAAAAAGAAAACACTGTTGAATTCAGATAAGGACAAAAATAATTAATTATATCTTTCTACGTTTCTTCTTCGTGTAACTTTTAAAATACGTTGTAGAAATTAAAAATCAATATAAAATTTGTTAATGCATTAATTCTTATTATGAAATCAGGTTAATCTGGCTGCTGATTCTGGTGACCACCAGCATTGGGGCCATTGTGGTTTACGTGGACCTGAACGAGCTTTACCAGACGGTGCGCATTCAGACCACCATCAAGAACACCATGCTCCCGATTTTCCGTGTGCCATTTCCGGCGATTGGCGTCTGCCAGCGGAATCGCGTCAATTGGATGCTACTGGAGAATGGGGCAGCTGAGCACTTTCTAGGTGCCAACGTTTCTGCGGCCCAAAAGGATGTCTTTATTAAGTTCTTTACTGCTGCAGGAGATCCACACTTGTCGCGCATTAACGAAATGTCCAACTTCTTTAGTAATGCGTCTCTGGTTGCTGATTTACACCTGCTAGATGGCTTAGATCTTCGCGAGGTCTATATGTACCTCCAGTTTAGATGCCAAGATCTGTTCTTCTCCTGTCGCTGGCGGGGAAATCCAGTAAACTGCTGCGAGGTTTTCGAGCACCAGTTCACGGAGTCCGGCTTGTGCTTCGTTTTTAACACGGAAATCAGTCCATCATCACGAAAAAGAGCGGTGAGTAACCCTACGTTCTAATAATTAAAATGCTTGTTTTTATAATTGTAAATAATTAAAGGTTTGAAGTCACGCTTTTGTTAATTTGCCAAGGTTAAGAAAAAATTGTTTAATACATTTTATTTTAATTAAACCTTTGCAGAAGGAGGACAAGTACTACCCCCTTCGCACTCCGCAGTATGGCGAAGGTTCGGGTATAGATATTTTCCTGAGGCTCAACAGATCCCTGATCCGTCCGGGAAAACGTGGTATAAATGTGATGATCAAGCAGCCGCAGCAGTGGAGCGATGTGGTGCGGCATGTGCCACATGAAGCCCACACCAAGATCAGCTTGGTGCCCCGGTTCACGGTCACGGATGAACGCACCCGGTCCGTGACTCCGGAAGTCAGGAGATGTATCTTTGGTGATGAGATCGATAATCCGCAGTACAAGAACCTGCCGGGATTTGAGTACTGGGTGGGAAACTGCCGCAGCAGATGTCATCAGGAACACGTAATCGATCTGTGCAATTGCTCGCCCTCCATTTTCTTTCCAGTCACTGATAAAGGTTAGTATGGACTCCCATCATCTTCCATTTACATAAATCGTATTGAGAAAATAAAACTTATTTCTTAAAGAGCCAAGCTCATTTAGGAATCTATTATTATTATTTATTTATTACTAATTTATTACTATTATTTTTGTATCTTTTATATTTCGCAGACAACTTTACAGTTTGCAAAGCTTCTGACTTTAAGTGTCTCTACGACAATAGACGTGAGTTTTAAGGAATTATTTTTTTTTTTTGACTTTATTGCCTAACTTTGTTTATAGTTACCTTTAGTATTGAACGCCATCCTGAAGAGAACGATTTTGTAAATAATCCTTTTAAGGAAAGCATGATCTGTGACTGTTTCACCAGCTGTACTCAGCTTATTTTTGAGCGCATTTATAGCACCACATCACTGGAGTAAGTACATAAGACAGAGTAGGGGCTCCTATAATAACAATAAAATGTAAACAATTTTTTCAAGTTATAATGAAACCAATACCGAGACTGGTTCAATGCGCTTAGAGATTTTTTACCAGTCCGGCTGGATTATCCAGTATCAGACCACCATGAGATTTACCTTTGTGGAATTATTGGGTTGGTAAAGCATCTTAACACTTTTTAAAAATAATTCTTAAATTGTACTTATATTTTTCAGCTAGTTTTGGTGGTATAATCGGTCTTTTCCTTGGCGCCTCTTTACTAAGTGCCATTGAGTTGGCCTATTATTTTTCGATTGGTCTTTATTTGTACATCAATGGTAAAAGAAAGTTGAAAAAACCCGAACCCCGCATCATAACTGTACCATTTGGTCAGAGAAAAATAACACCAATTAAATACACACATTAAGCCTTTAAAATAAAATCATATCCATCAGAATAAACTTTTCTTACCCAAAATATTTTTTTGTTGGTTAATGGCGTATCTTAAATTACCCTTAATAGAATATTAGTGACTATTTAAGTGATGGATCCCCACTCAATTTGTTTAAGAGCTCCTACAAACCTCTCCGTATTCTGCAACTGTGAATCGTTTAAATACTGGCACTGGCTGCCTCCACCGACATATCCATTGGCCAATCTGAATCCTAGTCACTCAGTAACTGAGCTTTGGCCTGGAATTCGGGGCCCCTTTTATGGTCGGCAACAGTCCAACGACTAGTTTATTTGTAGTTGCAGCCGGGAAACTTTTTTCGGTTAGGATATCCATTCTGGCTCACAAGCTTTGTAATTGAGTAGTTATGTTTCCGGCTATTGATAAGCCCGCTGGCAAAAGTGGCAGAAGAACTCAATGATAAGCGGGCTGAACTGCCAATTAGCTATGATTTTACCACAGTTAAAGTTTAGCGCTTGAGCGAAATGCGCGAAGTTGTGTTGAAACCAGAGCCTTCCAAAAAGGATCATGATGATACCCACCAGAATTTGAAGAAGGGAAAGAAAAAGGCAGGAAGTAGGTTTGCTTCGACCAGGCGGTAAGTGACAACTAACCATTACATTATACACATATTTCTAATATATTTGTGCAAAAGATACAGATAATATTTCCAATTCCCACTTACCATAAATACACTTGTTCCTCTCCACAGTTATGCTAGAATCCCGCTTAAAATTGTCGCCGCCTTAGCCACTGTCTATGTGTGTATGTTGTCTTCGGAGCGATATTTAAACTGCTGGGTGCAGACCTCCATAGAAAGGGCCGACATGCATGTGTCTCAGATCAAATTTCCAGCAGTGTCAATTTTTCCGGTTAATTTCACCAGTCTTAATAAATCGACCAAATCGCATCGATTCGCCAGAGCCTACAATTTAGCCCAGTCCGTTTTCTGGCAGACTCCGATATCAGCTCGCCTGACGGATGACAACTTCACGGAGTTTCCCGAATTCGACGACTTGTCCCTCTTGACATGGGGAGACCCAGACAACTGGAAGCTAAATTGCAGAAATTTCTTTTCTGAGTGCCAATGGCGCCGCAAGGCTATGAATTGCTGTGACCTCTTCCGGCCAGGAAAATCGTTCAAGGCGTTTGCCTTCGAGTTCAACTCGGTGCTTTCCTTAGGAAGGGACGAAACTTGGCCATGGTCCGTGGCCGCCTCGGGTGCCTTAAGCGGCCTCAATGTGAAGATCAAACGGCAGCACAGTCACTTTAATTTAAATATGGTGGGAGTGAGTCCGATAACCAATCTGTAGTTTGCGGTATATATTACTATCTATTACCCCATTCGTCAGGTTTTCGTACATGAACCCACTCAGTACATGGGCATGAGCGTCGACTATTCCTCGGAGGATCGCATTGTGATTCCGGTCGAACCACTGCATTTCACAGCCGAAATAGAAGTCAAGACCCTTCCGCTTGAAAAGCGTCGGTGTTACTTGGAGGTACATAATACTCTTCAAAAAAAATCCAACAACATTTTAATAAACTATCGTAAATATTTATTTTAGGACGAAGTCTTACTGACCGAACAATCCCGCTCGGAATGCATCCACAGGTGCCATATTAAGTACATTATTAGAAAGTGCAACTGCACTTTGAATTTACCAGTTAAAGCCGATATCAAAGAGAACATTACCGATGCAAAAGACAGCAGCAGTCGCAGGAATTGTGGTATTAAGGACCTATCCTGTTTTAATAATAACCGATGTAGGTTTTAAAATGTTCCTCCCTTTATTTTACTTTAATACAAACATACTATTAAGCGTTTCAAAAAGGTGACATTTTAATACACAAATTTATTTACTAACTTAGGATTTCTTACTTTGAGTCCACAAAAAAAGGAAACAATTATTTTTCCTGCGGAAAATTAAATTTTTAATCATTTCGTTTTTATACCCGTTACTCGTAGAGTAAAAGGGTATATTGTATTCGTGCAAAAGTATGTAACAGCTAGAAGGAAGCGTTAAGTATATATATTCTTGATCAGGATCACTAGCCGAGTCGATCTAGCCATGTCCGTCTGTCCGTCTGTCTGTCTGTCTGTCTGTCTGTCTGTCTGTCCGTATGAACGCTGAGATCTCGGAAACTATAAAAGCTAGAAGATTGGCATTTTGCATGTAGATTTTAGAAGTTCCTACGCAGCGCAAGTTTGTTTCAAAATGGTGCCACGCCCCCTTTAACGCCCACAATCGCTTATATACGATTTAAAAAATTTAAATATTTCGGAAAAGTAAAAATGCAGTTTTATTGTGTTTATCAATACCTATCGAAATGTAGAAGAAATTTTTCAAATCGGACCATTCGTTAAAAAGTTATGCGTGATCAAAGTTTCTATCTTCATCTCCCTCACACTCCCTTTACGTGAGTAACGGGTATCTGATAGTCGTGGCTCCCGACTATAGCGTTCTCTCTTGTTTTTTTTTTAATTTTACAGTTTCTCTCTTTTCCACGAGCAACATAATCGAAGAGTCCAGGGATAATGTATTTTCCACCGTTGATTGCGGCTGTTTTCCTAGGTGTGATCGCACCCAATACCATTCGACTACCTACACCGAAAGATTGAGCACCCACACTAGCCATGCCACGGAAATCGAAATCGATGTGTATTTTCAGGAGGAGACCCTCTTTTCCTACCGCTCGATGCTTGGGTTCACCCTGATCGATTTGATGGGTGAGTTTGGGACTCGATATCATATCCTGCACACACTAAACAACCCTTTTAATACACAGTTTCCTATGGAGGAATAGCAGGCCTGATCATGGGCATTTCTGTTTTAGGCTGTTTTAATAACTTCTTGGATCACTTTGCCTGTTGTCGTCTACCCCATGACTCTTAATGAAACTATAAAATCCCAGACATCAGCAGCTGTATTCTCACGTTTCCAAACTTACCTGTACTCGTATCACACACAAATACACTAAAACTCTTGTTCTTGGGGTACACACAAAAATAAATCCAGAAAATAAATAAATAATATTAAACTCCCTGCACAACTCCAATCAGATATAACAAAACTTGAAGGTATATAAAGTCAAAGGAGTCATTTTTCTTAAAGTCAACAATCCGCAGTACAAGAATCTTCCAGAATTTAAATACTTTGTGGAAAATTATCGCAGCAAGTGCCATAACGAAAAGTAAGTCTTAAGAATTCGCAATCTATTTTCTTTTAAGTCCCAGGTAAAGATAATTTTAAATACATGAATCACACATTAATTAATTTACTTATTGTAAAAGTTATAATAAAATTTTAGTCAAACAAAATAAGTGACGTCAAATATTCCTTCATGTATGTTTTACACAACATATGTCATTTGCGACGTTATCTGCCGGATGCATATTAATTTTTAAATTGGTTAACAGAGAAATGCGTGTGTAATAACGGGCACTCGACTAAAAAAATCCACCAATAAAAATTTGGGTTTATTTGAACTTGTCATTGTCTACCAATTGGTCAGTGAAAAGAACACCAATTAAGTACACACATAAAACTTTAATGACAATCGGAATTTGCTTTTAACAAACCTTATTACCAAACATTTTTTCTATGGTTAAATGGATGCCTTAAATTACCATCAACAATGTTTTTTCGGGCTGCAGGAATCTCTGACAAATGGCCGACATCGTTTTTTAAGTAACTTTTAAACTTTCGCCATTTTATTCGCAGCTGCTTATTTAAGACCCTGTAGTACTTGTTGTCATATAGATGTATTGCCAGGCCCACGGTTAGATAGTAAATCAATTCAAAGGCACTGACCACAGAAGCTCCCAAGCAGAGACCAAAGATTCCACCTAAATTGGCTGCAAGTAAGATAAGATGTATAAGATATAATATAAGACATATATATAGTTAACAATCGGAGATTCTGACCTATCAAATCAATAATGGTGAATTCCAAACTGGTGCGGAACATAGGTGTAGTTTCCACTTGGTAGTGCACATCCACCTTAAAGAGTTTCTGCTGTGGATCCTTTGGTCTGCAATAAATTGTTTTAGATATTTCAGGAAATCAAACAAAAGTTACGTTTAGCTCTACAGTCTATGTGCAGACAAAGGCAGTGTGGTTGTGGACGTATAATAATCGATCAGGTAGCAGTTCACAAAACAGGAACAGGTCATCCCCGGCTTGGTGGCACTGAAAAGGGCATCCTCGTCCTTCCGTTTGTCGTAGCTGAAAATGTCTGCAACGAAGGGCGTAATATCCTGAATTAATCTTTTCAAATCACTCTCACCATTGTGACGGGCCAGGCAGCGCAGGCTAGTCGCATCGCATTGTTTAACTGCAAAAAATAGTTGTTTTTAGATACACATGAAAAATAATTTTTAAAATGGTTGCAAAATGTTACATTTCATAGTTTTCAGTATAGTTTCCTTCCACATGCTTTATATAGTTTCATTTGCTCATTCATAAATACAAAATTTAATTGGTTTATTTCTTTAAATAAATAAGAATACTCTATTTAGATATCTTATCTAGTTGCCATACGTTTTGATTGGTTTTTAACTTACCCCTGTTGTTGACGAGGAAGAAGATCGGCAGGGAGCAGTTGCACAGTTGAACCAAGTAGGATTCGTGGCACCTATTTAGGCAGTTGGTGAGCTGAAAGGACTTGCCATACTTCTTGGCCGCATCATGTTCATTCAACTCGTGCTGCTCGTCCTCGAAGAGGCAATTCCTCCGCTCCGGAGGAATGTTACGTGTGCTCTCGTCTGTCCAGGTGATATCCGGGCGTACAGTCACATAGGTCTCGGTGTTTTGGGTCATTGAATAAACGACATTGTTCAATTGATCTGGCTTCTTTATCATTACCTGAGGGTGGGATAAATATGCACTTAATTGCTTAATTTCTTTTACTTTTTACTTACATAGACATTATCTTTGGCCTGAGAGTCGGGTCGCTTAAAACTCTCATTGATAAGTAAATCGAAATTCAATCCCGTACTCTGACCCGCCTTGGCGTTATGCCTTGGATAGAAATTTCTACCTTCCCTCTGTCTAATTTCCTTCGAGTGTGGAGAAATCTCTGAATTGAAAACCAAACAAAATCCAAACTCTGTCTTTTCCATCACAAAATATTCGCAGCAGTTGAAGGAGGAACTGCGCCACAGGCAGGAATCTGTGACCATAATGTCCTCGCAGCGAATACTCAAGAACATGGCCAATTCAGTTATATTCACGAATTCCACAGCCTCCAGATTATCGTCCTTCAGTTGGGACAAATTCGCCAAATAATTGCCGAAACGGAGAGTTTCTAACCGGGAAACCAAGATGGTGAAACTCTCGACAACTTCCACACTGGAATTTACAGGAAGGAACTTCTCCTTGGCCGCCTTCAATTTGCTCCAATCAATGCGATTGTCCGTGCAAATCCCCACGGCAGGAAATTCCACCAGGAAAACGGGGAATTGCGGATCATGGACAACTGTCTGCAACTTTTGGGTCACAAAACGCTCAGAGAGTAGAACGTAGAAGAAACAAGATAGGCCTACGCTGATGATTAGCAGCACGCTCCAAATTAGTCTGTAAATGGAGAATGAAAAATAATAAAAAATTAATAGTAATACTTAAAACTTAAGATACAAATATAATCTGGTCCCCATTAATAGAGAACCACACCGCATAGTTTTAAATAACAATCTGCATTAAAATTTTAAAATTGATACATTTTTTTAAATTTATTTTTATGTTACTTATTTTTAAGTTTCCGGCTACTCCCAAAAGAGTTTAATGAATTTTATAAACTTAATATATTATATTTAAGAACCCAAACAAACCTCTCCACATTATGCAACTGTGGATCGTACAAATAGCGAACGCAATGAATCGTTGACTTTTCGCAATAGCCCCGAAAGTGGATTCGCAGCAATTCCACGAGCGACTTGTCACTGGCACCAACACTAGCGGCCTCTACCGATTTATCTCCCTTGGCCATTCTGGAAGCGAGTGACTCAATCAATGAGCCTTTCCCCGGAATTTGGGAACCCTTTTATGGCCACAGTCGACCATGTAATTGCAGCCGGGAAACTTTTTTCGGATTGGTTATCCATTATGGCTCACAAGCTTTGTAATTGAGTAGTTATGTTTCCGGCCATTGATAAGCCCGCTGACAAAAGTGGCAGTCGAACTCAATGATTAGCAGGCTGAACTGCCAATTAGCTATGATTTTCCCACAGTTGAAGTTCACCGGTTGAGCGAAATGCAAGAAGTTGTGTGGAGACCAGAGCCTGCTTTTAAGGATAATGATGATGACCACCAGGAGTCAAAGAAGGGGAAGCAAAAGAAAAATGGATGGGTTTCCGCTAGGCGGTGAGTCATAACCAAATAGTCCAAAAAATATGATGCACTCTGAAGAATTTGAAAAATATAGAAAATGTTATAACATAACACAAACTATAGATTTCGTACAATACAGATCTTTTAACAATACAATCAAACATTAAAATTATAGAATAAATTTTATTCAAAATCTGTTTGAGGTAGTCTTTTTAAGACCAGAAAAATCTAATAAAGGATAGACAACTTAAAAATTAAATTTTTATTGTCAAAGGTACGCGAGAATCCCCCTCAAAATTATCGCCTTATTAGCTACTGTCTATGTGAGTGTGTTGTCATCGGAGCGGTATTTCTACTACTGGGTGCAAACCTCCATAGAAAGGACGGACATGCATGTCTCTGAGATAGCCTTTCCGGCCGTGACCATTATACCGATTAATTTCACCAGTGCAGTTAAATCGAAGGATGCACAGGCCTATAATTTAGTCCAGTCTGTGATCTGGCAGACTCCGATGGCGGCTCGCCTGACGAAGAACAACTTCACCGAGTTTTCCGAATTCGAAGATTTGGATGTTTTAAAGATGGAAATCTCCCAGTCCTGGCAGCTCAATTGCAAGCACTTCTTTACTGAATGCCAGTGGCGCCACAAACCGATGAACTGCTGTGATATTTTTAGTTCTGGAAAGACCTTAAATGGGTTTGCCTTTGTGTTTAACTCGCTGCTTTACTCTGGAAAGGACGAGACTTGGCCTTGGTCAGTGGCTGCATCGGGTTCCTATAGCGGACTTACTGTCAAAATAAAACGGGACCATAGCCGGTACACTGTGAACATGCTGGGGGTGAGTCCGATAATAATAGTTTGTAGTAGTTCATAAACATTCTCTTACCATTTACTAGGTAATTGTACATGAACCCACTCAGTATCTGGGCATGAGCATTGATTACTCCTCGGAGGATCGCATTGTGGTCCCGGTAGAGCCCCTTCGCTTCACTGCCGAGGAAGATGTAAAGGCTCGACCACTTCAAATGCGTCGGTGTTACTTCGAGGTAACAAATAAAAACGAACAATATATTTAAAAAACTCGAAATCTTTACACTTTTTCACATTAGAATGAAGTGTCTAAGCTTGGACAATCTCGCTCGGAATGCATTTACAGGTGCCGCCGTGACTACATTATAAACAAGTGCAACTGCACTTTGAGTGCTTTTAATAAAGAGAACATTACCAATGGGAAGGACACCAGCGACACAAGGATTTGTGGTGTAAAGGACCTTTACTGTATTAATAAGCATCGACGTAAGCTTTACAGATATGCTCTCACTTTATCTTTCGCTAAAAAAGATAATATTATTATTAATACTCATAAATGGTGAAAAACTTATTTTGATTTTTAAATTGGTCTAAATTTGATCAAAATATTTGTTATGCTAATGGTAAATGTTACTAATTTTTTATTGAATGCTTTTTAAGTTCCCCTTTTTTCCATGAGCAACATCATCGAAGAGTCCAGGGATAATGTATTTTCCACCTTTGATTGCGGCTGTTTTCCTCAGTGTGATCACATTCAATACCATTCGTCAACCTACACCGAAAGATTGAGCACCCACACTAGCCATGCCACGGAAATCGAAATCGATGTGTATTTTCAGGAGGAGACTCTCTTTTCCTACCGCTCGATGCTTCGATTCACCCTGATCGATCTGATGGGTGAGTTTGGGACTCGATAGCATCTCCTGCATAAACTAAACAATCATTTTTATATACAGTTTCCTATGGAGGAATAGCAGGCCTGATCATGGGCATTTCGGTTTTAGGCTGTTTTAATAACTTCTTGGATCACTTCGCCTGTTGTCGTTTACCCCACGACTCTTAATGTGAATTTATGAAATCCCAGACATCACCAGCTGCGTTCTCAAGATTCCATATTTACCTGTAACACAAATACACTATACACCTGGTTCTTGGGATACACACATAAATAAATCCAGTAATAAAACGCATTAGGAAAATCGTTTCGCATTTGACTACCTGCACAGGCAGTGGAAAATTTTGAAGTGCAGCCCATTCAGACATAACAAAACCTATGGGTATCGGATGGACTTATGCATACAAACAAAAATCCAAAAGGTTTGTTCACATGCACTTTAAAAATATGTATTGATTGAAAGTTATATAAGTTATGTTATATTGCATAGCATAGAAACAAAACATTTAAACAATATTTTCCAACAATATATTTCTTTTCCAACAATATAACAATTTTTTTTCAACGGAGTTATAAACGAAAGAGCCAAAACAAGAAAGGAAAGCTAACTTCGGGCAGAGCCGAAGTTGATATACCCTTGCAGAATACTCTGTAAATTATATTCTCCAAAATTATTCATATGATGCATTCTTAATACTCATAAAAAATCCCAACTTTCTAACTTTAAAAACACAAAAGTTATGGCATTTCCGATCAATCAGTTATATGGCAGCTATAGAATATAGTCGGCCGATCCTTATGAAATTTGGTAGGTCGGATTGATCGGCCAAATATAAAACCCATAGGAAATCCCAGCTTCCTAACTTTACAAACACCAAAGTTATGGCATTTCCGATCAATCAGTTATATGGCAGCTATAGAATATAGTCGGCCGATCCTTATGAAATTTGGTAAGTCGGATTGATTGGCCAAATATGAAACCCATAGGAAATCCCAGCTTCCTAACTTTACAAACACAAAAGTTATGGCATTTCCGATCAATCAGTTATATGGCAGCTATAGGATATAGTCGGCCGATCCTTATGAAATTTGGTAGGTCGGATTGATTGGCCAAATATAAAACCCATAGTAAATCCCAGCTTCCTAACTTTACAAACACCAAAGTAATGGCATTTCCGATTAATCAGTTATATGGCAGCTATAGGATATAGTCGGCCGATCCCGGCCGTTCCGACTTATATACTGCGTGCAAAGGAAAGAAGGGTGTGTGCAAAGTTTCAATTCGATAGCTTTAAAACTGAGAGACTAGTTTGCGTAGAAACAGACAGACGGACAGACGGACAGACGGACAGACGGACAGACAGACGGACAGACGGACAGACGGACATGGCTATATCAACTCAGGAGGTGATCCTGATCAAGAATATATATACTTTATATGGTCGGAGATGTCTCCTTCACTGCGTTGCACACTTTTGACCAAAATTATAATAGCCTCTGCAAGGGTATAAAAAGTATGAGAAGTCCGCAACAAAATCTTTACATTTTTGGACACAATCTATTAGAAAACTAAATGTATAAAAAGAAGACAAAATTTCGTAAATATATCTTAAATGTAGCTAAAAATCGATTTTATGAAATTAAAAGCGTATCAAAATGTTGCAAACATTTTTAAACAGCCTTTTAAATTTTTCCACAATTTTATAAATGAAGAATTTTTTTGAGTGCAGGCATACAATTGCCAAATGTGCTGCGTTTGCTAAACACTTTTAATACATATATTAATTTTTTTTTGTATTAAATAAAACGTCTCACATGCTAGTTTGCCAGAGATTAAAGGGGGACATGCTTATCAGCAGCCCAGCTGCTGGAGGTTATTAGATGGCATCCAGAATTTCTTTGTTGTCCACTTGGGCACACCACAAAAGCATTTAATGCTCACATCACAAAAGAATCAAATTCCCCATGCTAGGATCATGATCTCTGCCATTTTTTAAGCTCTTGCTTTTGAGACCCCTCAGGTACCAAGTCCAGTCGCAGCACGCTCGGAGGGGTATAAATATCAGAGTCTGTCGCTATTCAGACACAGTCTTCGCTCGATCGTCGGACAAACAAGTTAATAAAAGCAAAAATGAAGGTTTTCGTTGCCATCTGCGTGTTGATCGGTCTGGTGAGTGTTGGGCCCAGTTGAACCCTGTCCGATAACCCTTAGAATCGAACACAAAAAATCTAATTTATTATTTTCCTTTGGGTAACAGGCCTCCGCTGACTATGTGGTGAAAAACAGGAACGATATGCTGGCCTACCGCGAGGAGTGCGTTAAGGAGCTGGGCATTCCAGTGGACCTGGTGGAGAAGTACCAGAAGTTTGAGTACCCCAACGATCCCCAGACCCAGTGCTACCTCAAGTGCGTATTTACCAAGTGGGACCTGTTCGACGCTCAGACCGGCTTCAATGTGGAGAACGTCCACCAGCAGCTGGTGGGCAACCATGCCGACCACAACGAGGCTTTCCACGCCAAGTTGGCCGCCTGTGTGGACAAGAATGAGCAGGGATCCAATGCCTGCGAGTGGGCCTATCGCGGAGCCACCTGCTTGCTGCGGGAGAACGCTGCCCAGATCCAGAAGAGCCTGGCCCCCAAGGTATAGGATGCCTTAATTGGACGACTGTACTGATAAGCATTAATTTAGTTAATAAAGTAATCAATTTCCGATAAAGTTTGGTTGCTTCATATCAAATCACTTGGAGAAAGGAGGAACTGTTTCGGAGTTCCTAATGGTAAAGTTATAATTTATTAAAAAAAACTCCAAGTTCACACCCATAATGGCAGCTAATGAATCCTGTCCATCTAACTGTAACTTCATCAAACTTTTACCATTCGTCATGTTGCTGTACACCCGTGAGCTTGTGGCTCCGCGGCTAAACCAAGGACTTCTCCGTTTCAGAAGGAAACAACAACGAATAAAGTACCAAGATAGATTGCGCAGCGCATTTGACCATTGCACCATCCATGGGATGCAGCACGTCTCCGGGGAGCGGCATCTCTGGCAACGCCTCCTTTGGATCTCCATCGCCTTGGGGGCAGGAGTAGCCGGTTTTAGTATGTACTCCGTGTTGAGACTTCGCCTTAGTGAGCAGCTCCTGGTGAGCTTAATAGACACTACCCAGTTGCCAGTGTACCACATCGACTTCCCAGCGGTGGCCATTTGTCCATGGAGTCATGTCAACTGGCAGAGAGCTCCGTCTGCATTAATTCGATTTCTGCCCGAAAACCCGGATGCGCACCTCCGGGAAACGTTTCGCCATCTACTTGTCGTCTTGGATTTAACTAGCTTTTCCAATTTTAAAAGAGCAAGTGATATGGGCAAAGAGATTGCCATTGGGTGGACTTTTTTCAGCATGAAGCAGCTAATGAACTACCTGGCCTATCGATGTGAGGAGCTGTTTATCCCTGGATCCTGCGTCTTTGATGAGACATATTATGATTGCTGCCAACTTTTTGTGCCAGAGCAAACTGAGAAGGGTCAGTGCTTGGTTTTTAACTCTCTGATTTCGGATCACTCCAGGAAAAAGCAATTGACAAACAAGTTCTATCCCCACAAGTTGAGTACCGCTGGCGAGGAATCGGGTCTGATGTTCACGATAAATGCAAGCCATCCGTTTGTGAGGGCTGGCAAAGAAACTCCTTTTGGAATGAATGTAAGTGTTGCGAATTCATCTTCCTATCCATTTATTTTATGATGAAACATTTTATTTTACATTTTATTTTTATCAGCTCATGATCAAGAAACCAAGTCAATGGTCAAGTGAAATAATATACAACCTCTATCCGGATACGGAGAACTTTGTGGCTGTGAATCCATTGGTCATGGAAACCTCCACGAACACTCATAAAATGAGTCCCAGAAAGAGGCGTTGCTACTTTGATGTAAGTAGAGGGTATTAACAAATATTATAAGTTGTAAATAACTACCTTTCTCCACAGAACGAACAGAGCCCATACTTCCAGAACACTTCATTGACCTATGATCGGGCAAATTGTATGGTTGTGTGCCTTCATCAAGTCGTTTTAAAGACCTGCAATTGCTCCGCGCCAGTTTTTCTTCCCCCTATTGGTCTTGGTAACCTTTGGAAAACGAACTATTTTTCGATAGTTACCTTAAATTATCTTAATTTTATATTCAGAGGGCATTCGTGAATGTGGAGTTTTGGATGCAAAATGTCTGAGCAGTAATGCCGATATTTTTAGCTATGTCAGAATGGGCGACCAGGATAAGTATATCAACGACTCACGACATGGGTATTTTTGTGATTGCCCAGATAATTGCAATTCATGGCAATACAAAATGACTCTTAATGTGCGCAAGTTGGATTAGTAAGTCGATCATACATTTACTCACTTGTAAGTAATGCAATTTCCTTATTTTAAAGCCCAAAGAATTCCACAGAGAGATTAATCAAGGGACAGATTTATTATGGCCAGCGGGTGATGACCAAAATCATCACAAAACTCAAGTACACAAATCTCGATTTACTGGCTAACTTTGGCGGCATCATAAGTCTGTTTATGGGGGCATCTGTCATGAGTTTCATAGAACTTGTATTTGTAGTAGGAAAACTAATGTGGGTATTTATTAAAGATGGTTACGCTAAATTAAACGACCAGATTAAGTAGCTTACGTTGATAAAATGTATATTTACGCCATACGTTGATAAAAATAAAGAATTTACGAGGCACGTTATTTCTGCTTAGTTTCCTGGTCCGTCGGATAGCGTATATAAATAGCCGGATGAGGCACAGTTGTAGGAGTCTCTGGCAATTGGTCCAAATAGGAGCAGCCGATAGCCAAAGCGGTGCCATCGGAGCTAAAGTTAAGCGTGGATATGGAGGTATCGTATTCGTGAAACTGGCACAGGCGTTTCTTATTGAACCCGTCCCAAATATTCACAATACCATCGGAGCCGCCAGTGGCGAACGTCTGGTAGACATTGTGAAAACTGAGTGCATTAACCGGATATATTTGCTCGATGTTCTGCTCCCGATTCCGGTGGCACTTGAAGGCGAACTTGCGACGCTGTACCTCGGGATCGTGATCCAGGTACTCTACGGCCACACGGCCCTCGATGGAGGACATTACGTAGCCCTCTTTATTGGGGAAAAGGCGGATGCAGCGGGTCTGGTACTTGAGCGAGGACTCCCGCTTCATGATGTAGCTGTCCATCTTACGCAGGTCCCAAATCAGCACCTTACGGTCGGAGGTGGCAACTACGATCTTCTCGTCGATCACGGACATGGAGTACACCTTACCGTTGTTCTGCTCGAAGGTGCCCACGCAGCGCTTCTCCCGCATGTCCCACAGCTTCACGTTCTTGTCCCAGCCGCCGGTGAGGATGCCATTGACGTACTCTGCGTGCTCCACGCATCTAATGGGCTCCTCGTGGCCACCAACCACACTTTCAGCCTGGGTGTTCACATCGAAAAGGCGCAATTGGTTGTCTAGTGAGCCGCTGACCACGTGCACGATGTCCTGTAGATCGGAGCTTAAGTGGGGGGTCAGAAATTTATATGTAGCCATCTTACCATGAAGGCACAGTCCAGAATCGGAGCATCCTGCAGGAACTTCTGACGCATCTGGTTTGCCGCCACATCGTAGAACCTTAGTGTTCCGTCCCACGAAGACGCTGCCATGTACTGGTTCGATTTTGGGCCGAATTTCACGGCGGAGATCAGATCCTCCGGCGGATTGTTAAGCTTGAACTCTGGAGGACGCATTTTGTCGAGTTTGCAAAGTGTCTATCAGTTAAAAATTTAGTTAAATTTAAAAGAAAAACTGTTTAATTGCGAATGCAAAAATCGGCACGGCGTCTATGGTAGAGACGCACAAATTCTCGATAGTACTATCGATACATCACATATTTGTTTTCAATATTAATTAAGGGGATTGATGAAATTGATTGATATCAAAATTAATAATTACAACTTTTAAACCGAATCACGATTAAAAGAATTTAAATCATATATCAATCTAAACGATTTGCTAACGTTGTAATCCTGATTGGAAGTATGATAGCTATACTAATAATAACAGCTACATGTTTTATATACCGTTGGAAACCTTAATCTTTACATTGAGCTTTTGAAATGACAAAAACATTGTAACCTGTGAAGAGTATTAAAAAAATATTTTGCGCATATGATTAAGCTCACACAAAAATATAATTTTACAATTATACTCTACAATTAAACTTAAGAATATTTTTAGGGATTATCAGATCGACGAAAACTGTCCTCCAGTCATGAGAGAGAGCGAGAGGCAAACAGCTGGCGTTCATTTTCGGCAGGCTTTTTTTTAACCTCGGTACTCAGATCGAAGAAAAAAAAACAGAATAGCATTGCCAGTCTGCTGAAATGACCTTGGTTGAACCCTAGCGAAAAGAATAAAAAATGTAATCTTTTGGCTTGCGCTTCTCACTGAACATTTTAAAAAATGGAGAGAAAAAATAAAAAAACCCAAATAAGTCGATTGCAGGAGTTTTCTTGTAAGGGTGTTAATCTTTGGGGGAGCCTCTTGTGAGAGCAAAGTGATTCTTAGATCAAAAATATACGAAAAACACAATAAAAAACGTAGAAAAATCGCCTGTTAGGACTAAGTGCGGCTCTGAATTTTAAATTAGGAAAAAATGATTAGTAAATTAAAAAAAAAAAAAACAACTGTTAAATTTAAATTGTATTGTTTTTTAATTTCTTTGTACAGGTAGTTGATAATATCTTTTAAAGGCTCTTTCTGCTTGTCAACAAACTCAGCTGATTGACAGTACGACCCTAGCACGCTTAATTTTGATGAACTGTCGAAAACACAGTCACACTGGAAAGATTAAAGTTTTTACGTTAGCGTACTCGTTTTTCGATCTGAGTACTAGGCCTTAACTTATATTACCTAGATATTAGAGTGCCCTCATTATTTATCTCTTCTCAGTGCCACTTCCCGGTCACACTATTGTAGGTCAACCACTAGGAACCGATAACCGATATCAGACAATCGAATCGGCGGCGAATGTGTTTCATCTCAGTAGCCGACGCCACTTATTTGAGAAGACCTATTTGTATATCACGGAATTTAGGAGAATACCTGTGATGGATGAACCGCACGACTTTCAGTTCGTGCTCCCCCTGAATTCCTCGGATCTTATAAACTCCAGTGGGGATCAGTTCTACGTGAAGGAGATATTTGGCAGCGCCGAAATCCCACAGAAATTGCTAGGTGAGTGCCCGTTGGCGGGGATTCTTTTTAAATGGGTACAGTTTTAGAAAACGTTCAACCGATTATATTTTCCCGTCAGAATGCAAGCGAAAAGTTCATCAAGGCGATCCTTTCTATATCTTCGACCACTTTGACATATACTACTCGGTTCTGGAAGTCCAGGGTTCCGATGCCAGCTGCAGCCAGAATCTAATGAGGTCTTTCGATCTCCTTTACTTGACTGTGGACAAACTGTTCCAGGACCTTCACCCTCTGCTGGCAGCCAGCGAGCCCATGTCCAACCAGCAGCGCAATAGCTACTTGAATCTGACTAAGATGACCCTCTTCCTCCAAGTGAGCGTCGTCAAGAAGCTCAACAATTGTGTGCAGCAGGCTCTGCGGGATCAGCAGGTCAATATCCAGAAGAAGAGGGCAAAGCAGTCGGAGGCAACGGAGCACTTCCCAAACTGGGACGTCAAGCGATCCAAATTTCTCGTGCAGCTCTTTAATGTTATGCAGTGCCCGCTGGAAAAGCTCTGGAGTCCGCCTGTCGCCGAAGACGACTTTATTTCGTGAGTAACCTTTTATCTACTGAAGCAGTACATAAAATCTAATCCACATCCAACAGATTGCTCTGCGATGTCTGCTATAGAACCCTCGAGCTACAACCGCTACGTCCAGACAACAAAAACGTATTCGACACGATCTTTCAGATCTTGGGCACCTCGATCAAGCGTTTTAACCAGGCCATGACCTTTCCGGTCCGTATCCTGCAGATTCTGCGCGGCACTGAACACGCGGCAACGTCCGTAGCCACCGGCATTCTACTGCTGCACGAGGAGTACGGAATCTCGTCCGTTTTTTCCATTCTGATTAAGAGCATTGTGGACGCCCTGAAGCTGGACAGTTCTGACTCCACTGTGTCGAAGCACTTCTCCAATTTCCTGGCCGAGTTCTCAAACATCGCCCCTTCGCTGATCATCCCGCATCTGGAAAAGCTGGCCGATGACCTCTTAGATTGTCAGTCACACACATTACGCAATTGTGTGCTGCAGATCATCGGGGACACGGTGGTCAGTGAACTGACCTCGGAGGAACTCAGCGAAGAGCTGAAGGAAGTGCGCAACGAGTTCCTAGAGCATCTAATGGCTCACATCTTGGATATTTCGGCGCACGTGCGCTCTAAAGTCCTGAGCATCTGGCACCACTTAAAAGTACAGCACGCCATTCCGCTTAACTTTCTAACGAGAGTGTTGGACGAAGCCATCGGAAGGCTGGAAGACAAGAGCTCCCTGGTGCGGCGTACCGCCATGCAGCTAATCAAATCCGCCCTAGAGAGTAATCCCTATTGCAGCAAACTTTCCCTGGAGGAACTGCGGGCCAAGCATGAGCACGAGGTTCTGGCCATGGAGAAACTGAATGATGTCTTGGAGGAAGAGCGCAAGCAGGAGGAACAACTCAATACTGAGTTCAGCACCCTGGCGCCCGAACTACTGCCCTTCATTGAGGCTAACCTAACGGAGTGTAGGCCCAAGTCAATACAATGGTTTACCATATTTAATAAATATGTAAATTTCTAGTCCCTGATATGCAGTTCGACAAGGAGGAGAGCGACGAGACCTTGCTGGAGAGAATCGTGCCGCTGATGCGCGAAAAGAACTACAAGGACGTAATTGTTCTGGTGCGAAAGGTTGACTTTTTGGCTGGCAATCAGAATATGAGGTACACTGATCATAGATTGTATCTTGAATGTATCTTAGTTCCTTGAATCTTACCTAATCATAACAGCTCCTTACTGAAACACGAAGAGCACTGTGTGTATGTGCTGGCCTTGCTAAAAACATATCACCTACTGGCCGCAGGATTCAAGCAGAGTGTAGGTTTCAGCATAAATAATATGAGAATCTCCACTAATCAGAAATCTAATTTCAGAGCGAGGAGATGCTGCAACAGATCAAAACGGTGCAGTTCCTCAAGGACAGCATAGACTTCGCGGTTCTGGTGACATCGGCATTCCCTAAGCTGCACGAAATGCTCATGTCCAAAACGAACACTGATGTTTTCGAGGCTGTTGATCTGTTTACCACCGGCTACATGTTTGGGATACACGGCACAGAGTCGGGAATGCAGAGGATGCTACAGTTGGTCTGGTCCTCGGATAAGGAGAAGCGTGATGCCGTGTCCGATGCCTACAAGCGAGTTCTGTTTTCCACAGACCAATCGGGCCGTGCTCACGCTATCCTAGTGGTTCAGAACTTGTCCAAGTTCCTTTCGGAGATCGAATACGGACACTACACGGCCATGGAGTCGCTGATGGCAGAGTGGGTGTTAGGTGGAGATATCGACGCCGCTGTCATCCAAGTGCTCTTTGAGCGCTTCACTCTCAAGCTGGAGGGCACCACCGTCAACGAATCACGCCTGTCTCTCCAGCTCTTAATCATGGCTTCGCAAACAAAAGCCAGCATTGTTTCGGCCAACAAATTGATCATCGAGGACATTGCCGCCGGGGATCGGGTGCGCCGCGATCCTCGCATTTTCACCAGCTGTCTGCAGTTGCTGGTCAACTCGATCGATGCCAACAATAATGCCAAGTACTACAAGCGCCACAACAGCGATTCGGAGTTTGTGGGAAAAATCACGCGGCTCTTTCTAGACTTCTTTTTTCACAAAAAATTGTCGGATTTTGATGCTTTGGCCATGAGTGTGTTTGAGTATTTCTACAGGATGTGCCAGGCGCCGGATGTGATTGCCCAGCAGTTGGTGGTGACTCTGCTCAAACGATTTAACGAGAGCTGGTTGGTCAAGGAGGCAGCTGCACTTGAATCCTCGCCAGTCGTGGGGAATAAGGAGAACGTTCCGGAATCGCAGCCCACGGAAATTCCTTACTCGCAGACTCTCCCCCTCACCCAGAGTCAACCAGATAACCTCCTCCAGTCTGATCGCAGTCTGATGCCCGTTTTTCTGGTCACCCGTTTAGTATTCTGTATCGGCTATATGACCATCAAGGAAATGATCTTTCTTGATATGGACATCTATAATAATATGAAATACCGCGATGAGCTCACTGCGCAGGAAGAGCGAAAAAATCGTAATCAACTGGCGGGAAATGCCCAGAACGCGGCCAGCAGACTAACTCTCAATTTGTCAGCTATGGAGGTGCGGAAGAGACTATCTGGAGTAGCTGCCGAACCGCAGCAGGAGCCGGATGACGATCTGGTTGGGGCAACGGCTGAGGACAATATAGCTGAGGAAATCAACGGTATCTGCGAGGAAATGCTGCTGTATAACTCCGATGCTCTGCTGGCCAAGCTATCGCCGTTTATCATCGAGATTTGCAAGCGTCCCGGAGAATTCCGCGACGACAAGTTGCAGCAGGCAGCCACCTTGGCTCTAGCCCGTCTAATGACCGTGTCCTCCCGGTTCTGCGAGTCCAACATGAGTTTTCTGATGAACATCCTCAACCTGACCAAAAACATCCGCATCAAGTGCAATACAGTGGTGGGCCTGTCGGATCTGACGTTCCGTTTTCCGAATATCATCGAGCCGTGGACGGGACACTTCTACGCCCAGCTGCACGAATCGAATACTGAGTTACGGCTGACCGCCGTCAAAATGCTGTCCCATCTGATTCTAAACGAGATGATACGTGTGAAGGGCCAAATCGCCGACATGGCGCTCTGCATTGTGGACGGGAACGATGAGATCCGCAATATTACCAAGCAGTTCTTCAAGGAAATTGCCAACAAGTCCAACATTCTGTACAACGTCCTGCCGGACATTATCTCCCGTCTGGGTGATATCAACCTTGGTTTGGACGAGGACAAGTACCGCATAATCATGTCCTACATCCTGGGTCTCATCCAGAAGGACCGCCAGATCGAGACGCTGGTGGAAAAGCTGTGCCTGCGGTTCCCGGTGACTCGCGTTGAGCGTCAGTGGCGCGACATCGCCTACTGCCTTGGCCTGCTCAGCTACAACGAGCGATCGGTGAAAAAGCTTATGGACAACATGCAGCACTACAAAGACAAAGTCCAGGTGGACGAGGTCTACCAGTCATTCAAGCTTATCATCAGCAACACTAACAAGCTGGCCAAACCGGAGCTCAAAGCCGTTGTCACCGAGTTCGAGAACCGACTAAACGAGTGCTTGCAGGTCAATCCGGACTCATCGGCGCAACCCGGCGATAAGGCCACTGGAGCTTCGGAAGGACAGGCTAACAGAACCCAAACGGCCAGGACGAAAAAAGGTGGGCGTAAGCCGGCCGCCAACAAGAAGACTGCTGCGCGGGGACGCGGAAGACGCACTCGCATAGAATCCAGTTCAGATGATAGTCCCAGTAGCGACAGTAGCGATTAGTTTATCTTCTTACTTATACAAATCGCCGCGTTGGTAAACTTAATGAAGTTTTTAAAAACATTTATCAACTTACAAAATAGCAAAAATGAAGTTTAAAAATCACGTTTTTTAAAAATAAATCTAAAATACTGAACCTAAATTTATATATTTATTTTTTTAAGTCAACAAACATCTATTAAACTCTACTTCGATCCGTTTCCACATCCACCAAAAAAATCGAAACAAATATTTGGTTAAACTAATCTACTGGGGTGGGGAAACAAACACACGTAAATGGCATTACTCTAGACGGCTTGGAAGTACTAAGTTTGGTGGTTGCGTTTATGTTGTCTATGGGATACCAACAGTTGAGCATTGGGCACTGGATTCACTTGATTTTCTTGTGAAAAGTTCGACGAACCGCTGGACCGTCGTCCGCGGTGCTCAGCCCAATGGCAAATTGGGCAGCGTAGTAGGTGATCATGATCTGGAGGCGGGCGAAGGGCAAGGGCACGCCAACGAACATGGTGACCGCGATCAGGGCGTCGGAGATCACAAATAAAATGGCACCAATGGCGCAGAAAATGGTGAGAAAGTTTGTGGAGGCCACAGCTCGAGCTAGGGATCTCCACAGCATTGTGGTTATCAGATAACAATAAATAGGCACTCCGATTATCAAAACCTCGTCCAGTTTCTTGTGCACAAAGTAAACAACTGTAAAAGAAATGGGAAATTAAATCCGGTAGTTATAAAAAATATGGGAAATTCGAAATTTATATAAATAAAATTCATTGAAAAAAGGTTTAGTAGTTTCTATACTTACAAAGTGATACCGCCACATACAGAACTAATCCTATTAGCCACTTTACGGGCTTCCAACCAAAGGCGCTGATATAAAATACATGCGCCACTCCAAAGGAGATCATTCCAAAGGGAAAAAGATTTATGTTGAGCAAAGCATCACCGCCGCAGGAGAAAACCAGGCCCAGAAGAATCCAAAGAGATCGACGATATCTGTCAAAAGTTACTTAGAAATTATAACCTGAAGTGTTAGCCCTTTTAAAATCTTACTCTTTTTTGAGCGTGATTCCTTTAGCCACCATATAGAACATCAAGGCCACAATCGGCAGGCATTTGAGCACTGTGGTCCATAGTTCTCCTTGGGGATCCTTTCTCACCAGCGAGAAATACAGGACGAGGGTCACCAGAAATGGCACCAACTTAAGGCCCTGCGCCTTTGCCTTTAATAAAAGAAAAGCACATGTTGTCAATCCTATCAGAATACGGTATGAGAATTATTATAAAAATATTATAAAGTAAATTTGAGATCAAATTTAGCGTCTCTTAAATTTTTAAATGTAATTCTATATTTGATACATTATTATATTATATTATAATTATTATAATATCCTGCATTTTAAGTTGTGTACGCCTCAAGAATGTAGATTCAGTTTCGTTCCTAAACAAAAATTAATAATCGGAGGAGCAAATAAGTTGAATATTAGTTCCTATTTTCATGCACAAATGTATTGTTTAATGTTTAAAATTGACTTTAGAAACATTCATTTAGTTAAAAAGCCATTACATATTGAACCCTTAATACTCTATAAGTAACTTAAACCTTAGTAATACCAGAATATTAAAACAAAATTAATTTAAAATATGTTGAGGGTTCACATGTGGCTTGGTATTAAAATAGCCTCAGCGATTACCGCTAATCGAACCACGGAGGTCCAAACTACAGACAAACATTGCGATTAAGAAAATCGGGCGCTTTTGGGGCTGATTAGATTAAAGCATTTGGTCTTGGGGTTGGCCTTTGCTGGTCCCTCGTCAAACATTTATGGTTTTATGGAGATGTAAATTGGCCAGGAATTAGCTTTTGTTTTTGGGGTGGTCAAATTGGGGACGGCGCAGCCTTCAAACTTTCGCTTTCGGTGCAGGAGCTTTGAGAGTGCTCCAGAGAACCTGAGAGATGTGCAAGGTCAAGGACGAAGCATTGTGTTCTTTTTATAGCTTCACTTTCTGCGGTTAGATAAAGCATCCGTAGTGCACGCACGCATATTTAATATTATTTTTGTTTTTATAGCTGGAACATGCATATCACTGAAACCAGAGATTTCAACTTAAATACCAGAACATGAATCACTTACGAACTGCTTGAAATCGTTCATATCCGCCGTAATTAGTGCAAATTACAACTATTAGCGACGGTGAAAAGTCTAGCCAAGCTGCACTTTCACACGATGCGAGCGCGGAATCGGAAATAAACAAAATAAACTATGGGTCCCCCAGAAGGGAAAACAATGGAAAAGAACACGTTGCGCACGGGCGGCCAACGTCAATAAACTGAGGCGTATCATATACATTTTCGATTCACTGGACTGGCGAACGCTGAAAAGTTTCCGATTTCTGGAGAGTGAAAAGTTTTCAGCCGGACATGTGGTGTGCAGCATATGCAGCATTCTGCAGATACACGATACAGATACAGATACATTTACAGATACAGGAGGGCAGATTGATTATTTTCTACCTTTTGTTATTAGTTGAGAGCGGGAATTTAAAGAGCGCTGCTCACGCAACAGGTTAATTGAGAAGTGACCGTTGGGAAAGCTTTTCAGACAGCATCAAATTAAATCCAAAAGATACACATGCGCAATCGCTCTCACACTCTCTTTGTATCTTCAAAACAATGCAACAATCTCTGCACACTTTCACTCGGTAGAGCTTTCTCCACGAAGCTTTGCTGGTCTCTAGACTTTTTCGCCACCTTATTTTGGCCAAAAAGTTCATTCCGTTTCGAGTTGTGGCATTTTTCAGGCGTGCGAAAATTCCTCAGCTGTCCAAGAATTTCCTCAACAGTTTTAGCCATCTTAAAGTAGTGGAAAAAAGCAGGAAATAAAGTGAAAAATTAAATTCCTTTTTAATCCAAGTAAGTTTTAGCCTAAAAGTATGCTATAGCTAGACCTACAAGTGCCCCAAGTGGAAAAACCTTGTGCCAGAGCTGGAAAATTATGTATCCATGGGGGCTTCCTGTAAGCAAATACACACTCCTGTAAAGGAAAAGGAGGTAGTGAAAATTAAAGCTGACCAGTGTGACACACATTGGGTGAGAGCAGCTGGAGGAATGGCACTCACACCCCTCGTAAATTATGCAAAATAAAATTATGGTAATGTGGTTTCACAGAAAGCAAGAGTGGGATCCTTGCCAAGAACGACTGGCACACACTTGACCTCCGAGGAAAGGCACTCGAGTCGGGCACACAAGATACTGCAGGGACATGAGCCTTTGTGGGCCAGTGGGTGGTGCACGTACTGTCCCATCCGCCCGTCCACCCAACCGCCCCCACACACAAGTGCACGTTGAACTTGAGAAAAGAACAGAGGAAAGACCCGGGCGGAAAATGCACGATACACATCTGGCAATGGCCAAATCTCTAAGGAAAAAATCCATCAAACTAGTATTATTAGAAATTCTATTAAAATTGATTAAAAGCTCTTAATATGTTTACAGTAACTTAGAGTAGTCATTAAAGTGTTTGCAATTAGCTTAACAGAAATAGACATACGTATTGTTTAAACTCTTATTGATTATTTCTAAAATTATGCAATGAGTGGCAAACATTTATATATTTTTTAAAAGTATAAAGTATTTCTTTAATATATTCCTGAAAAGATGTATCATGACAGTGTGCAGAAATTGTATAATCCAAAAAAAATTAAATTGGTAGAATAATAAAGTTCTAGTTACTTGAGGATAAAATTAATTAATGATTGATTTGTGGACAGTAATTGAGTTGTTCGAATAGCAACTAATACCCTTTTCACTCCCCGAAATAGATCGAATAGAGGCCACTTGAGCAGCGAGCACGCAACATGGCGTGTCCTTTCTTCAGGCGAGCGGATTCGCTGACACGGCAGCCCTCGGTCATCGCCGAGCCCGGTGGCCACTGGGCGCTCGAGGACGAGGAGCTATCGGATGACGCCCTGACCCTCAAGCACCTCCAAATGGCCATCCAGCTGCTAACTGCGCCGTCGAACGAGGATCTCAACACGGCAGTCACTTCTTTGGTAGCCAAGTACCGCCAGAACTGGCCCAACATTCACAAATTGTAAGTAAAGATGATTAGTCTGATTAGGAATAATGTAAGCTGCTTTCATATCTTAAAAGAGGTTCTCAAACCTTATTTAATTTTATTTAAAAACGGAAAAATCTTCTTTGAACTCCTCTAGAAAGCTGGATCCCCAAACGTTCAAGAGCTGCGCTAACTATGATTACTTGGCGGACATCCAGGAGTTGCTTTTGAAGATGGACGAGGCGAGTGCCAGCGAGATCCTGGTGCTTTTGGGTGAGGAGCTAATCACCTGTTGCTGCACGGGCATAATTGAAAGGGCCTTTCGGTGCCTGGGCACCGATCTCCAGGAGTTTCTGGGCTCCCTTGATGGGGTTTACGATGTGCTCAAGCTGCAGGAGGTGAGTTTTAACTACCAATTATTATACATTTTCGAACAAACGAAATCTTTATGATAATTAGGAGGATGTGACCGATACTGGGTTTGTGTGTGCAGGCGAAGGAGAGCTGATCTTCACCTCGGAGCGTCCTGTGATCGCCTGGTTGCTCCTGGGTTCCCTGAAGGCCCTCACCCGCATGCTCTATAAAGTGGATGTAAACATCAAGATCGAGCCCGTGGAGGGCGATGCCCGTCGCTATCGCTATCTCTTCTCGCTGGTCAAGGATAACTCCCAGACCATGCTGATGGGTCGTCCCACTTTTGTGAGCAAAACGATTCCAGAAACCGTGCAGCGTAGCAACTCCAGTAATGCATCTGATTTGCAAATGAACTCGTCTAGTTTCTGCAAGATGTTTCCCTGGCACTTCATCATGAATGAGCAACTGGAGCTGGTGCAATTGGGAAGGGGATTCAGCAAGTTGTACAAGCCCTATATGGCGGATTTCGGATGCCAGGCGAGCACCTACTTTGATTTCAAGCGCCCCAAAGGATTGACCATGAAATTCCGGGATATTGTGAGGCGTACCTATACGCCCTTCCTGATTGGTCTGAATAATCCTCCAGGGGCCGTAGACTTCCCGGCTATAGGATTAGAGATCAAGGGTCAGATGGTGCATTGCCCCGAATCGAACTCCCTGCTGTTCATTGGCTCGCCATTCTTGGACGGTTTGGATGGGCTGACCTGCAATGGTCTCTTCATTTCGGACATTCCGCTGCACGACGCCACCAGGGAGGTGATCTTGGTGGGCGAGCAGGCCAGGGCGCAGGATGGACTGCGCCGGCGCATGGACAAGATTAAGAACAGTATCGAGGAGGCCAATTCGGCGGTGACCAAGGAGCGAAAGAAGAACGTCAGCCTGCTGCACCTCATCTTCCCCGCAGAGATAGCCGAAAAGTTGTGGCTGGGCTCCTCCATCGACGCAAAGACCTATCCGGATGTGACGATCCTGTTTAGCGACATCGTGGGCTTCACCAGCATCTGCTCAAGGGCCACTCCCTTCATGGTGATCAGCATGCTGGAGGGCCTGTACAAGGACTTTGATGAGTTCTGCGACTTCTTTGATGTGTATAAGGTGGAGACCATCGGAGATGCCTACTGTGTAGCCAGCGGCCTCCACCGCGCCTCCAAATTCGATGCCCACAAGGTGGCCTGGATGGCCCTCAAAATGATCGACGCCTGCTCGAAGCACATTACCCACGATGGTGAGCAAATCAAAATGCGGATCGGTCTGCACACGGGCACGGTTCTCGCGGGAGTGGTGGGCAGGAAGATGCCCAGGTACTGCCTCTTCGGGCACAGCGTCACCATCGCCAACAAGTTCGAGTCCGGCAGCGAGGCGCTGAAGATCAACGTCAGTCCCACCACCAAGGAGTAAGTCTTAAATGATTAAGCTAGTGGGATTGACATAAATTACAAGATTTATCAACAAATTTTGCTTAAAAGAAAAGCTCATTCGAATTTTTAATGTTTGAAGGCACTAAATGGCAACATTTTGTTGTTATCCAATTCACGTATTCGCTCTATTCGCTCTTTTCGGGTCTTTAATAATCAGTAAATTATATTTTTCACCACAGACCCAGACAATTAAACAAAGCTGACATAGAATTGATACCTTTCTTAAGTTTTTTTTAATTTAACAAAGATCTCTTTATAAAGTTTAGGTTTCAAAGATTACTTAGTCAAAACTTATACTACTTTCCAAACAAAAATTGTTATGTTAAAAGCATTACAATTAAATAAATAGGCAGAAGATTTCCTTTTCAAAACACTACTTCAAAATGTACTGTTAAAATGTATATTCGTGTAAAATATATCTAAACCTATTTCAACTTGTTTTTCAATTTTAGGTGGCTGACCAAACACGAGCGCTTTGAATTCGACTTGCAGCCGCGGGATCCCTCGTTCCTTCCCAAGGAGTTCCCCAATCCGGGTGGAACCGAGACCTGCTACTTCCTGGAGAGCTTCCGTAACCCGGCTTTGGACAGCGAGTTGCCGCTGGTGGACCACATCAATGTGGCAATGAAGACCATATCGGAGGGCGGCGATGCTTAGGAAGCCGAAGCCATTTCCAGATCCAGACCCGGGTCCTCGATCCGTAACCCCAATCCTCCCGTAGACCCACTCGCTCAGTAGTCGCAGTTCGATGCACTTGTATTGTGGTTTGGCCTGTTGCCCTGCTTAGCCTATAAAACAATAAACTATCCAATTCGAATGGTTGCATTCCAGCACAAGAGATGAACACACTTTATTTTAAGGGTTTATTTTGGGACTTAGGCGGCGGCACTCTTCTTGGCCTCCTCCTGCTTGGCCTTTACGAAGGCCCTGACCTTGTCGCCAATCTTGCTGGCCATCATGCACCGGTGTCCGCGGAAGGCCCACTCGTCCGTGGGACTCTTCTGGGCGTTGTCGTCGATGCAGCTCTGGGCGATCTGGAGGGCCTCCTCCTCGCTCAGGTCCATCTTGAACTGCTTGGCCAGACGGTCGGCGTGGTAGCCCTGCTCGCTGCAGAAGATTTCCAACTTGGTGGCCGTGCAGGTCAGATACTGCCGCACATCGGGTTCGTCGGGGAAGACCAGGTTCTTCAGCTGGGCAATCTGGTCATTGCTCAGGGGATTCTCCTTCAGGCATTCCACGCGGATGTTCTTGATCTCCTCGCCAGTCTTGGGCTTCCACTCATCGGCATGGGCCTGCTCAAAATAGGGTTGATACAATGAATTCAAACATCTTTATATCTAAAAACAATGGCGAACATCTAACTCCAAACTTAAAATTTCAAATAAATTAGAAACTTCTGTTCATTGTTTTAATAATGAAAAGAAAATATCTACCTTTAATAATTTCCGCAATCAATTAATCTAAAAATCATTTTATAGACAATTGGATGTCGTGACATTTAATTTAGTGTGGGTTTTAATTGTAAGAGGTATCTCCGACGGCCCGATTTTGTTTTGAGAATTCTCAGTAATTAGATTTTATAACCTATAAAAATAAATAATTAAAATTTTAATACAACAGTTTTTTAAAGCAACGAGGATTTCAACAGGTTCATATAACTCTTTAAAATTCTTGAAATTAACTGAACGGTTTTATTATATGATTTAAACCCACTTAGCAAAGTTGAATCAATGAAAAGCTAGTGCAAGTTTGCAGTTAGAATAGTTCGCCTTTGTCACATTTTATATACTATATATACACACCACAGCGCACAGGGCCAGAGCAACGACCAGATACTTGAGCATGTTGGAATATAGTTTCACGATCGTGTTGTAGATGAAGTTCTGAACTGAAGCGCCGTCGGCTTAGTGCCTGGCTTTATAGCAAAGCCACCGCTAATCGTAAATCGGTGATCGCTCGATGTCTCTATGTCTATAAGTCTATATGTCTATGCTCTCTCCACAGATTCTCTGTGTCAAGAGTTCAGCGATAAGCCAGTCCAGTTCCCATCCACGCTGTTTAATTGCATTCCGCACCAGCTGATAAGTCTGGAAAGAGACCCAGACTTGGACTGGAATTGAACATTTGCTGAGCTCTACTTGCTATGCAAAACTTGTTTGTTGATTAACTTGTTTATTGAATAGATTTCTCGATTATTCCGAGTTTTCAATTTCCAGTAGTATTTTCAACTAAATCTTTAATTTACTTGCTGATATTGAATAAACTGTTATCTTCTCGGAAAATCTTTCATCTGGAAGAAAACTATTTCCTGTTTCATAGCAAATGCATTTAATGTATGCTTAATCTTTGAGGTATCTGATGAAACAACTAATGAATCTTTAACTGATTTATAAAGTTCAATCTGCACTGGCGAAAACAAAACTACTGATAATAAATCGTTTAAGTTTAGTAGTGTAACATTTCTTTAAAGCATTTCTATAAGTAAATTAAAGTGATCATTTCGCTTACTCTTCCAGTGTCAAATAAACATTATTTAACAAAAGAATTAAATGATATTTAAGAATAGAAATTTCGGGATTGTAATTTTTCGTAAAAACACTGATCACTAAGTAAGACAACGAAATCTGTCATTCATCATGACATTACACTTGATCCCTTATCAGTTACCAGGGTCAAGCGAAACCCCCGATTTCCCAAATACCGTCGCATTTAATAAATAACTAATGCTGATAGCAGGAACTGCCAGCCGCTTTCACCCATTCAAAATAATGAACGATCCAAGTGGCCAACTGTCAATTCGACGGCCATTATGCAAGCCCATGCAGTCGTATTTAATTAAATCAAATAAAATTCACAGCTGGCCGTCGAGTTCAAAATTAAATACGGCCTCAGGCGACCGAGAGATGTCATTATTATGGGATGATTTCGAGCACTATATTATATGTATTTGTTGGGTAGTAGTTGGGTAAACGTAAAACCCGGTGGTTCGCTGGGAACCACGCGCCCTTCAACTAATAACAGTTGCCTCAAAGGGGAGTACTGCCCTTCACAACTATTATTATTCAAAGGAGGCGAGTCCTTAACTGAGGGTTAGATAGCAGGGTTAAAAAATAGGAAACAATCGGAAACAGTGTTTATGCGAGTACCCCAAACAATGGTCATGATTACCATCGCTATGGAGTTCTCAATTTCTCTCCCCCGGCATTGTATTATTGTTGTGTTATTAGAAAAATTATACAAAATATATATACAGGCTGTTGAGTGAAAATTATATTAACACCCTGAGAGCGTGTCAATGGCCAAAGTCAGGAACAAAATACACTGTGTTGGCGTGTTGTGGATATCTCAAATTACTGGGTTGAGGATGGGAAATGGGATTGGAATGAGGATTTAGATTGGAAAACTGCAGTTAACGATTACATAATCGTCCTGTTGGCGGTGTCAAATGCTTGCCTGCCGGAATTCGCAATATTGTATAAATTGTGAGCCCCTTGAGCCATTTTGTTTGAAATTTGAGTTTCCGGCTGGGATTTGAAATGAGAATGTGATATGAAGACTTTTTAGAGCTGATTTCAGGTAGTACTTGCCATTTGGCGTGTGTCATGTGAGAAAATGTTTTTGGCCAAATCCTTTAAAAAAATAGATTGTTCTAGGAATCCTAATATGTACTGCTGTGGTCACAATATTAGCACAAAATGGCTACCAACTAAATACTTTGGCTCTAAACAAAGTACGATATCTGACTGAATTTGTGTTATTAATTTCATAATATTAAAGATTAGGAATCAAATGATAAGAATCAAATGATAAGAATCAAATGTCTTAAAACCAAAATCTTAGTATTATTAGTGCTATTATCTTGGCCCCAATCGTGTGCATCTGCATATGACACAACACAATTCTAGCAACTTGCCAGCACAGATTTCAGTTAACAAAATGGCAGCCCACCAGCCGCACACAAAGTTTCCTTGAACTTTTAACAAAATTTCACGTTTCCATGGGTTTCCGGTCGGTGTTTTCTTCGCTTCTTTTTCCGCAAGAGGAAGACTTCCGCCGCAAGAAAAGCAAAATGTAATTTCATGGCTCGCTGAACGAATCCGAATACATGAGAGTTCAAAGTTTCAGCTTTTGGCCCGGCCAAAGGAGCGACAGGGACGGAGAGAGAGAGAGACTGTCACAGGATGCTGGCAGGACTTGAAAGCGCAGGAAGTTATTTAATGAGATTTTCTTTGCGTCAAAGATAAGTCGAAGGAGCAATTCCGAAGCCTGCAATCTTGTAAAACAATATGCAAAACACGCGGGCGGGGCTGGTGTCTCTATCTGTGATTGTTATTGTCGAGCTGAGAGAGCTGAAAAGGATAAGCACAGGACGAAGGACGAACGACAATTGTTGCACACACTCGAAATTAAATTAACTTTTTTCGACCCTGTCCATTTTGGAGTGCCGCCGTCGCCTGCATTGTTCAAAACCAACTGCCGCTGACAGTTCCAAGTTCCAAGGGGAAGTTGGGCGGAGATGGGCGTTCGCATTCCGACCTGGCTAACCCACACAAGACCCACTAGAGACCTTACAGAACTAGAGACAATCGACTCCACCGACTGCTCAAATATTGGCTTGGGGTCGCGGCACCAAAAAGCAACCATAACCGAAATCGAAAAACCAAAAACCAAAACACAAACACAAAGCAAACAAATCGCAATCGAAATGAATGAATGGGGCAATGACGCAAGGAAATCTCATTAGCCGCATGTCTTCAAGTTTCAGTTTTAATTTTGTACAATATCTCGGTGTGTGTCGGGGTGAAAAGATCTTTCTCTGTATATTTTTTCGGGGGTCTTGATCAAATAATTTTGCGGCCACTGCATGTTAAATATTTGTCAACATTTTAAGGCACTTTTCCATTGTTCCCCCTCCAGATCCTCCTTTTTTTTTGTTTTACCCACTGAATCAGAAGCAGTTGAGTTGGCCACTTGAGATGTCCGTCGGAGTCATCAAAAGAGCCCAGAGATGCGAGTATGTGGCACACAGAGCGGTGGTCAAGACCCGGGTTAAGCAAAGTAGCAATGATCCCGGAGTGATTTCAACTTTCCTCCTCGAGGGGCCCTGCCAACGGCTACTTATTACACCGCGGCCAACAACACATGCGTGTCTTCAATTCATGCCCAAGATCAGCATTTCCTTTACTCGATCTTACAATAAATATCTTTTAATAGCGTACACTTATTAAATACCCTTAAAAATATACAATGATGCATGGCTCTTATTTTTTATAAATTATTTATTATGTCAAAGTAATTATTTGTATACCTTCCACCTATATAACTTTTATTTTACTTAATTGTTTATTTAACTTTACTTTAAAGTTCAAAGCTAAAAACGAAATAATAACAAACCTATAATATTGAATATATATAATATATGTACATATATAAAAATATTTGTTTTACTGTCCAAAATTAAATGATCGGGCTAAAAGGCTTTCCAAAATCATATTTTAATTAATCAAACCATTTTGAGTTTCTTAAAAGGGAAATACAAATATTAATTTTCTCAAAATGTCTATCGGAATAGTCTTATTGAAAATCTTGTGAGCTAAAAAAAAAATGTAGATGCAAATTTACTAAATAATCCTTTCCTATGTCGGCATTAGAAAGCATTGCATACAAGGCATTAGTTTTTTATTTGCTTATCCCTAGAATAATCAGTTTGTGTCTATATCGCTGGCATCATAATAGAGCATTTATAAATCCTCAGATCTCTTTTGATTGATTTCTATTTCTTGCTATGATTTTTTGTTGATTTCATTTCCATTGTTGTTATTATTGTGTGCCACTGTGTGCGCGCCTTATATTGTTTGTATTGGACCGCCGCTTGTCCCTTCCCCTCCGACTCCCCATCCTTCTGCCCTACCGCCACCCCTGCCCCACCCCACCCCTTCCGCCTTCAGGGGTCCGCTCAAGCGTGAAGAGAGCCAGCCAAGCCGACGACATAATGGACATGTTTCAGCTTTTGTTATTGGCGTGCACAGAAATAAAAAGGTAATACTTTCTTTAAACTAATTTAGATCATAAAACAAAATAAAAGGCAATTTTCTATTAGTTTATAAAAAAATTATAATTAGCTGATAAAAAGTAAATATAATTCAGAATTTTTTAAATACCTTTTCTTAAATCCTTCAATATTGAATTGTCGTTCTAATTTAGGGTTTTGTTATAAAAAATTATTACAATTTTAGAAGTTATAATCCTTTATGCTTTCATTTAAACGATTTTATTTCCATAAAATGAAATGCAATCTAAGAGTTAGCATAAGTTGCACAGTCTTCCTCAACTTTTTATTAAAAGTAAGCCCTATTTTAAGAATGATAGAATTTTTGGAATATCATATTTCCCTGCTAGATTTTAATTTTAAATTGTTAAGCATATATGATGTAGATATCTGACATATTGCATTGTTACAGTTTTATTTTAATTTATTTCTCTCTGTGGAGCAACAACAACAAAGTAAGTTGTCATCTCCAGCGCTGCTCAACTAATTTGCATATTTGGTCGCAGTAAAAACACTTTATAAGTGGCCACCCAGGGCAGCTTGTCTTCATGTGTGTGTGTGTAAGCGAGTGTGTATATAGGCGTACTTTAAACAAAGTTAAAATGCGAGAAATTGGCCCTGCGCAAAACACCAGTAGCTCCACGGTAGCAGCAACAACTGCAGCAGCAGCGACAGCAGCAACAGCACGGCAGCAACATCAACGGCGGCAGCAACTTCTAGCCATTTACTGTTGCCAACAACTGTAACCTGGCCAAAAAGTCAGCAGAACTGGAACTGCCCCCTCTTTTAGTGTGTGTGTGATTATGTATGTGTGGAGGTCCTTTGGCCACTAACACACATACACATCCTCACACAGACAGACGGCTGCAGTTGGAAACTTGTTTCTTTTGGCCAACTTGTAAAACATTGTTGCCGCTTTATGTTCTTCTATTTTCTGAGTGTGTGTGTGAGAGCTATGGCTCCGCCTGTTTTTGTGGGCGGAGTCTCTTAAAGAGAGAAGGAGAATCTAATGGAGAGACTCTCAGAGAAACAGAGATTGAGAGGCAGAGCATTTCCGGCGAGCGAGAGATTCAGGCGCGCGCAATGTCGCTGCTTCTTTCGCACACGTGACCTAACTGTCTCGTTTGTTCAGTGATCGTACTCACTTTGTTTCAATTGCAATTATTTTGTAACATTCCAATAGGCCAGTGGGACCCACCGCCCCATCAAAATATATGTTTATATCCTCTTTCCAACCCAGCAGGATATAAGCCACATTATGTAAAGGACTCCTCATCAAACGCTTATTATTTTCTAAAGAAACAACTTAATATCAAAATAAATTGAAACTAATTTGCCTTAGACATTGATTAGACATTTGTTTTCTAAAATATATACATATGTATATTAATGCCATGGTTACTTGTATGTATAATAAAACTTTTTATAAACAAAAACCCTGTAACCAATATGAAGTCATTCAAAATGCTTATGTTTTAAAATTGTTTTTTAAAATTGTCATTTAATTAAAATTAATGGAAATACAACCCATTTATACTATCTTATTAAAAAAGTATAAAACCATATTGATTATAAGTTCATCAAATGTTGTTTGCGCTACGTCGTTTTCTTAAATTTTTCGACAGTACAAGCCTTAACTTAATAAAAATTTATTTTAACCAGTCTAAAATACTTACCAACGAAAAATTATTTCATTTGGTTATAAAAAGTTACTAAAATCACAAAAAAATTAATTTATGAAAAACTGAAAAGTAATTTTTGAGCGTATATACATATATTGAATTTATTCTTTGAAGGAGTTTTAAACAATCAAATAGCAACCACCAAAATAAACAATGAGTTCGGCTTAAAAATGGTTTTTAAATGTTTCTCCTAAAACCTTGAGAGCAAGCAATTTAACTCTCTTACGTTTTGTGCATTACTTCAAGTATAATGTGCAAATAAACAATTATTTGTGTACCTGCACTAGGTGATTTTATTCATGGAGATTTTAGCACGCACTTCAGACATTTTAACAGCTGCAGCTGGAAATGAAAAGCAAGTGGCGATGTGCCAGAAACCAAAGCCGAAACTTTATTTTTGGCAAGTGGGGTACATAACTATAGGGGTCTGGTAATATTAGGTACACCCCAACCATAAGCCCGGGGCCTCTTAAAAAGCAACAACTGCGCTGCCAACTGTGTCAGTTAAATGTGTGTGTACCAGTGTGTGTTTCTGTGTGTGTCTGCGTGTTAGCCATGCCAACCAGCGGCGAGGTCGCAACAACAACGCTTTTGGTTGGCTATTCCATTAGTACCGAAGCGCTCTCACACATAGCAAAAAAAAAAGAAATTGTGAAACAAAGGGAAACAAAGAAAATGAAAGAAACCCCAAACAACCACCAGTGCACCACCACTGAAGCACCACCATACCACCACATCACCACACCACCACCATCACATGGCCAGCCAGTCCGGAGTGTTCTCCCTCCACGTTACTCATACGCCGCGTTGCCGTCGCCGCCGCCGCCTCGAGTGCACAATTTTGTATACAGTACCAAATTAGATTTGAAACTTTTTTCTTAATTGCCAGCTGCTCTGCCGCCGTCGACGTCGCCGCCAACGCCGCTGCCAACAGGCGACGCCGACGCAGGCAGCTGCGCCACACAAAGGTGGTTGCAACACTCTCTGAACCTGAATCCAAATCCGAGTCCGTATCCCCCAGATACATCCCATATATACACACATAGCCGCGTGTACTTTCAACCCTCGTTCGCCAGCCGCTTTTGTATTGGTAAATGTTGCCGCTTGCCGCCATTGCTGAACGTCGCCGTCGATTTTGCTGCCGTGCGCTGTGGCCTTTTGGCCAAAAAGTTGAATCAGTTGCAATCGAGGGCTCAGTGTGTCATGTCGTCAGCGCGCGTGGTTCTTTAAAAATATGTCTGAGCTATAAGAACGGAATAAAATTGTTAATAAATACAGAAAACCAAAAGAATATAGAAAACAATAAAACTAAACAGAATTAAAAACTATACAAAAGAAAAACCCTAGTGAAGTGTGTGCTTAGAAGTGCTTAACTTCAATAAAAGTAAAATATAGTTTACTAATCCACAATCGATATGAGTTTGCCGTCGGGTGTGGACATGCAGAATCTGATGTCACAGCATCCGGTTCTCGGAGCACTGCCACCTGCTTTTTTCCTGAGAGCCGCCTCCGAACGTTATCAAAGGACTCCCAAATGCGCCCGCTGCCGGAATCACGGAGTGGTAGGTCCTTCGAGACATTACCATCTGGAATTTTGGGACTTACGCTCAATGGATTTCCGTTTTTTTCGAACCTTTGCAGGTCAGCGCCTTGAAGGGCCACAAACGATATTGCCGCTGGCGGGATTGTGTCTGCGCCAAATGCACGCTAATTGCGGAACGCCAACGGGTCATGGCTGCTCAGGTCGGTTTTACATAGGTTAAGGAGGAATTATTACAATAATTTGGACAAATCAAAATATACAATAATAACGCGTTCCTTTGCAATTTTTTTATTTTAAAATAATACAATAATATGATATAGTAATAATATATAATATAGTAATCATATTTACTTTAGAATAAACCTCCACATTTTATGATAATTTTGATAAATGATCTATCAAAAATGTGTCTACAATTTTTCGAAATTTAAACTAAATCCTTCGCAACATTATTTAAAAGCTTACTCTTATAAATACTACTTTAAAACATTTAATTAGAATGATTTAACATTTTAAGCATACTCAAAAGTAAATTTTATGCACTAAGAGTTTTCCCAAACTGATATTAAGTGTCGGTTTCGATGCAATATTCTAATCAAAATATTAAAATAGCCGACAATAGTCAAAATTATAAGCTAAATCTGAACAGTTTTTCCATTTTATACAGCAGCTAATGGTTTAATCAAGTTCCCTGTTACACTTCACTGATCAAAGATCCGTTTTCCACCATTTCCCACCTTGTTGCAGGTCGCCCTCCGTCGTCAGCAGGCCCAAGAAGAGAACGAGGCCCGCGAACTGGGTCTCCTGTACACCTCGGTTCCTGGTCAGCAGAATGGCAGCGACAGTGCCACGCCCACTCCTCACAGTCCCAACCACAGTGGCAGCGGAGGATCGGCCAGTGGAGGATCCGCCCAGAATGGCGTCTTTCACGGCGGGATTCCATCGCCACCGAGCGACGGCTTCGAGGCCAGCTCCACTCCCAATCACCACCAGCAATCGCAGCAGCAACAGTCGCACCACCAGCAGCAGCACAGCCACAACCACCAGCACCAGCAGTCCCAGCGATTCAATGGCAATGAATCCGACACGGATGGACGCACCCGTTCCGAGCACCTCAGCGTGGGCTTCTCGCCCACGAGAACCGAGTTGGACGAGAGTCCCGGTAAGTTCAAGAAACAATATTGCAAAGAATACACCGAGGAAATTGGTGTTTGTTTAGTAAAAACTACGGTCAGTCCCAGTACTGATATTGAAAGTAATGTTAATTCTAACTCAATTCTTTTAAAAATTATTTAAATGTTCTTCCTGGAGTGTTTCTGTGTTCACTTTCGAATATGATTTGAGTTCGCATACCTTCGCAATTTAGAAGAGTACTCGAATATAAAAAGATTTTCAATTTATATTCGGTTAAATTATGAAGAATTAAATCTGAAACGAACTGTAGTTCTATAGCAACTAAATCTTTTAGAAATAAGTCAGTGTAAAGAGATTAATTTAAATCAGCCGAAGGAAGGTATTTACCATAACCCAAATTTTATAAAATATATTATAGTATATATTTTAGAAATTAAATTATTTTCTGTGTAGCCCCTTAAACAGCCCTTTACGCCTGGCCTCTTGCAAAAGAGGACTTCAAAACCTTGGGGGCAAGTGAAAAGCGCGTTAAGAAAAATTTGTTTTCGATTGTTAAAAAATCAGCGGTGCATAAAGTGCCACACTCGCGGTTGCATGTGCATAGCTGCATGTGTGCAAGTGGCGAAGTGATGCTAGTGTGTGGGGCGTAGGTGTTGTTTTGACAAAGGTTTAGCCAGCCAAGCTGCAGTCCTGTACTTTGCCAAACAGCGCGTGAAAACGACCTGGGGTTGCGGTTAAGTTAACGGGGGAACCAGGAAATTTAGGAAGTCAAATTGCAACAATTAAGTTAAAGTCCTCGTTAAAAAGTCAGTACTTGATTTGGCTTTACCATTTAAGAGGACATTTGAAACGCATTAGGGAGGCTTTAAGGAACAATATTAGGAAATATAAAAATGCAACGCCGTCATTTTTAATCAGATACCACAAAATTTTTAAATGGAAACCCTCATTTGTGATAATTTAATGTGATCCATTTCATAAAAAATATGAGAAAAAAAACTGAATGTATCATAAAACACTTGCATAATAGTTTTATACTTTACCACCCAAATGGTAAATACCAGGCAACATCATCTTTTTTTCTTTTATATTCTTAACAATAGCTGAACAATAAAAGTTATTGTAACATTATCCAATATTATTTCCTATTATCCCAACTAAGCCAATCAATTCTAACCAGATCATCGCAGCCAGATTGCCTTACCATCCTAACTCAAACTCCTTCCCCCATCGCAGACCTTTCGGCCTCACCCACTCATTAGAACTATCTGCTGTCCTGGGGGTTAAGACAACCCCATGCTGAGGGTCCTGGCAGGGGCGTAATGTGAGATACTTCCCCGCCGCCTCACTTGTCTTTATTTGTTTGGCCTTTTAAAGGACGTTGTTTTTTCTGTTCGTGAAAGAAAAACACACCAGGATTCTCACGCGAATCAATCGAGAAAACCTGTCTATTTAAGTACCAGACTCTTTATTTGCACTGAAATCCAAGACGATTTCACGCTTGAATTTTTATTTTCGGTTACAGAGTTCGGTATTGGGTATTGGTATCCACGCACCCTCGACTTAATTAAATTTTCACTGCGGCTTCGTCAACTGCAAAATCAAACAGACGCGAAAAAAAACCAGAGGTAGATGAAAACAAAAAAATATCATATAGCTTGTTTCATTTGTGAAAAAAACAGCAGGTTGTCCCAGGTTGTCATGTCAACGCATCCTGATCTCCTTTCTTTCTCCACCTTTTTTGTTTGCGATTCCACTGATTACATTTTTCCCATTTCTACATTTGATACTTTTATTTGCTCTGAGCTGCCAAGTGGAAAACCGCACAGTTTCCACTTGCTACCTGGGTCACTAACTGAGGGTGGGGCGATATCTGCTTTTGGGAATACATTTATTGAATGAAAAATATCGTTATTGAAAGAGAAGAATTGCATAATAAGAATGAAAACTCTGGACACATAATTATGTGATAAGTTCAATGATAGTTTGTAGTTAATTCTAAAATGCGAATATGGATTTACCATTACATTATACAAGTCAAAAACGACGAGTTAAATTGCCAATTAAATTGTTATTTTAAAAAATCAAAATTTGAGCCATAAAATATTTTTCTACATTTCAACTCATGACTAATATGACTTTATTTTGGATCTTTTTTTGCAGTTTCCAAGCGTGGAGCTACCTTGTCAAATGAAACAGACCAGGACACGGGCTCCGAGTCCGGATCACCGAGCAGTCCTAGACCAAAGGTCGCAGGACTCTTTAATCTGACCGCCAGCTTGTCTCCCGCCCGCACAGGACCACCCAGCTCTCCGGAGTCCGATTTGGATGTGGACTCGGCGCCGGATGAGGCCACGCCGGAGAACTTGAGTCTCAAGAAAGAGGACAGCCAATCGCCGCCAAATACACCCGCCGAGAACCTGCATTTGCTGCGATCCTTTAGCAGCAGTCATGCCCCGGGCTTCCTGCCATATCACCACACGCAGTTCCTGGCCGCCGCCGGCTTGCCCGCCCACCACCACCCACCGGCGCACTCGCCACACCACCAGCAGCAACAGCAACAACAACAGCAGCAGCATCAGCAGAACCACATGCAACAGCACCACCAGCAACAACAGCAACAGCAGCAGCAGAGATCGCCCATAGATGTCCTGATGAGGGTGTTCCCCAATCGCCGGCGCAGCGATGTGGAGCAACTGATGCAGAGATTCCGCGGCGATGTCCTCCAGGCCATGGAGTGCATGTTGGCTGGCGAGGATTTGGGTCAGACACCGCCGCAGGTTCCGCCCTCACCGCCCTTCCCCATGAAGTCCGCCTTCTCGCCCTTGGTACCGCCCTCGGTTTTCGGATCCCCAACACACCGCTACCATCCCTTCATGCAGGCGCACGCCAAGAGATTCCTGACAGCACCCTATGCCGGAACTGGTTACCTTCCGGGAGTGCTCAGTGCGGCGGACATCGAGCAGTCGGAGTCCAATGGGGCGGGTGGCCTCGGGTTGGATCGCACCAGCAACGCCGGCGATTCCCAGGATTGAGGCAGCGAGGCTGAGGCCAACGGCTCTGCCGTCTTCAGGCCTTTCGAGTAAGCTTTCCTTCTAGACTAGGGAAAAACAAAGCACTTCTAAAGTCAAGAATGAAATGTCTAAATACGCAGGGTGTAACTTGGAAAATCATTGCTTTAAACTTCGAGTTTATCAAAATAATTTGTTTTCTTCACTTTTTTAATTCAAGATTTTCGAAATTTGAATACCTTTTTAAAAATGAAGTTTTATCTTTATTTAATCTTTCGGTCTTATTTTATTTGTATTATTTACCTTACATAAAGAAGCATAAATTCTTGATTTTAGAACCAGATTTAACCCATGATTTGTCCTAGATATGCCTAAAACTAAGTGTAAATTATATTTACCCTTGAACTTCTAGCACAAGTATTGTAACATAGAAACCATAATAACAATATGATTAATGAATTATAAATTAAGAAAACCATACACTCGATCCCAGTTAAGAGCCATAAGATTTATTTGTTTAGCTGAAATTAATATTATAAAGACGATGAGATTATTGTGTAAGAGATTGTTCGATCACAACCAACTAATTGAGATATCCATGTGTACCATATAAATACGAACATATATATAAATATATTAAATATCATATTATGTCTTAGATAAAGTACATTTCAAACACTGTGTTAAAGTATTTAATAAATCTACAAAATAATTCAATAAAATTAAATGAAGCAATTAAATTACTTTCTGTATTTTCTGGGAAATTCTTGGGAGTGTGTTTTCGAATGGGAAACTACCAAAGAAACTTGATGCCAAAACACTTTTAAAAATAACGAGGGCTAGCAGTTATATATCACAAATAAATATTTTTTTTATTGAAAATGTAACAATTAAAAGAACATTTGTATTGCCAAAACAAATCTGTGATTCGACAAATAATTGTTCTATTGTTTTGCGAAACGTTTAGTTCATCCCTCTTTTGATTTGAATCGCTTAGGGCTCCAATTAAATCATTTTGGCCTGCATTAAATGCCTTTCTAATAGACCAATTAATAAAAATATTTAATTAAAAGGTGCTATTGTTAGGCAAACGCACAAGACCCAAGGGCTGGTTAAGTAAATATTTAATTTTCACAGCACGTAATTTATAATCGTGAGAAGATGACTAGAGAACAATGGCCTTCCCACAAACACCCCCAACAAATACCAAACTACTGCAAGAACGACTAATTGTAGAGGCCACCCACGATTCGAAAATCCCAACTGGTCATCACAATGGACCAAAGGGCCAAATAATAATGCGAAGCGTTAATCCGTATCATCATTATCTATTTGCCACTATTTTGAGGGCAATGCCACATGACCCCCGAAAAACACCAGGAAAACTATTCCGCATGGCCGTGTGCGGAAAAGTGTGAAATCCCTTTACACATAAACGGTTCGAGCTGTTTTTGTTTTCCCCATTCGGACACACGACACGATAAACAAAATTATAATAAAACTAATGCCCACAAACTCGCACACATGACCAGCACATTTCCAGAAACTTTACAATGGCCAAAGGACTCCCCGACTCACACCCACGAAGGGACAATAATATCGGTTACACACACGCCGAGTGCAAATTACAAAACTATTTTCCAACATGCGACTGAATGGATAACAAAATTAAATTATTGGATATCAATTTGTCCATTGTGCGCCTTGCCAAACTCGAAAAGTCAACAGCAACAAGGATGGCCAGGATGTGTGACCAGCTATATCAGCCCAACCAGTCCCATTTCCCCCGTATTTATGTCCCCGAGCCGAACAATGGGCTCTATGTACCATTGTCAGGGTCCAACAATGATGGTGGGTTAGCATAGCCAAGCCACAGGATCCTCAGCTCGAGTGGACAATGGTCGACATAAAGGCAAAAAGGACGAGGGGAGAGCTGGAGGAAGGGGGGTACGGGACACACTGGTAAGCCCGGCCAGTCAGTCAGCCGCTCGCTGGAGGACGAGCTGTCGATAATATCTTAGAGTAGCAGCGGCCCATGTAGTTATGGACTAACAATGAAGCTGGAGGAGAGCCAAGAACAGTGATGATTCTTTAGCTCTCAGCTCTTTTCTCGGAAGACAACGGTTTCTTTTCAATTTTGAAAATAAAGGAAACCCTTTCTATTAAGCTTTGTTAATTTTCACATATTTTATACATATTAACATTTCAATAAATATTGCAGAGAATGGTTTTTAAAACACCCTTATAATAAAAATCACTAACTAGTTTGTCTATAGTATCTTTAAAATTTTAAAATTTTAACGGATGTTAGTCTAAGTTGTTTACAAAAAATTCTTATAGATTTCCCTTTGCCTATTTATAATTTTGTAATACAAAGTTAATTATTTGGTTAAAACAAATAGTGAAAAAATGCTTAAATCAAATGCTGCTTTTATATATAATTAAAACCTGTATAGATGGGGATTTTAAAATCTAAAAATTCCTAAAGGAAATGGCCAACACAAAGAATATTATATGGATTAGTTATTAAACTGGTGTTTTTTGTGGAGCTTCCCTTATTTCTCAAAAAAGTAGCCAACTGTCCTCTCAAAAACGACATCACTGGTTAAGACCAGGAAACAGGAGCAAAACCAGCAGCAGAAGCATTCGCAGGAGCAGCAGGCAACATGCATATGCTCCTCGAGTGGCGGCACAAAATGCATACAATGTCAGGCATGGAAATTCTTGATAATAGACAATGAATTAATAGCAGGCGGTTGCACGAGGGGGAGACAGTGAGCCAACAAACAATCCCATCCAATCCAGCCAACCAACCGACCAGCAAATCGTCAGATCGAACCTCAGATACAGCCCAAAGGCAATGGGAACAAAGTACAACAAATTGCAGGAGTTATTCGGAAAGGGGTTTCTCCTGATTCTCCTGTTTCTGCTGGCAGATGGCACATGCCTCTTGCGGCCTCCAGAAGTGCCGTGTCAATTAAAAAACAAACGAGCGGCAAGTTCTCCGCAAAGAAACGCCCAAGAAGTGGCCCACCCCAAGGCCAATGAAACGAATCCTTCCCAAAAGGGTTACTTAACAGCTTAAGATTAACCAGGCATATGTTTTTCCTGGCTAATTCGAGGGTGGTCTGCCGGAGACTTCCCCCCGGGCATTAGTTTCACTTATTTGTTATTATTTGCTTTTCCACATTTCGGATGTCGAAGACCCGTGATCACAAGACGCTGCGACTCATTGGGTAACCCAACCTGCGGCTTGTCAATCGGAGGGTCAGAGGCCATATAGCAACAACTAATTTGGCAGCCCCCAAAAAAACCAACTCCTCCCCAAAAACAAAAAACAAGCTGTTTTGTTTTTCCAACAGACAGCGCGGGGAAACAGACGAAGGATGAGTGAAAAAAACCTAGAAAAGAAAACAAATGCCATTTCAAGTAGCAAACGCGTAAAGTAGGTGGCCCAGACCTTTTTGCCGAGACTCAAAGACACAGTGCAACCAGCTATGAGAAAAGATAAATTAAAAGGAATGGTTGATTAACAATAGGATAGATTAATTGGTAAACAAACAGAAAATGATATAGTCGATTTTCTTAGACGACTAGAAATTATGAAAAGAGCTGGTACGAAATAAAAAGTTAAAATAAATGACAGATTTACTATTACAATCAAGAAACCAAATAATCTGTATTCAAAGAAAATTCACATTTTAAATTTGTACCACTTTTACAAAAACTTCATAGTTTTTAGAAATGCAATGCAAAATGTAGCAGTAAGCAACAACTTAATTTAAATGAAATGCATTCCATTAGTTTGTTGAACTCGTAATACAAATTCTTAACGAACGTCTTTTAACCAGAAGGTTTTTATTTTGGTTTTATTTTCGCAAAATAATAATAAAACCTGGAATGAAAAATGTTTAGCCAGTTATAAAGTAATTAGGTTTTAATTTACCAAGTTACAAAAAACGTAAAAGGATTTTTTTTTGCAAAAGTCCTGATTCTATTTAGACAGGTGGTACAGAAGCATAAATTTGTATATGTTTGGCTTAAAAATGTTTATTGTTGTCGTTTAAATACTATAAAATAAAATGTGAAAACGAAGTTAAATGAGCAGAGATTTCCGAGAATTGTTGATTTATATAAAAACGACTAATTAAAAAATGTTCTACTCTTCCACCACTGTGCTTAGATTTTTTGGGTACGGGGCAGTTTGTCAGTCACAGTCGCAGTCGGCTAATAAGCAGAGAGTCCATCGGAAATAGTGAAACCTGCGCGGCCTGTTGGGCAACTGCCAAAACGATGAGAAATCAATTTTTTGGATTCATTTTCGGATCGCTGCGGTTTGTTTTGCTTTTGATTTTCGGGTTGTTAGTTGTGTTGCCGCCCAAGCAGCCAACACATGATACGACCATTTGATTTCCATGTGCGCATCTGTGAGTCGTGAGTGCGGATGGGCATGTATTCGAATGATTTAATACAGTAGCTGGGATGGATGCCTAATGGCTCACCCCGAAGACCTGTTCTTTGATGCACTCACTGCGCGGTTTGTTTACACAAAATTAAAAATTCATAATTTACATATTGTGTGTGTGTGTGTGTATGTTATCGTAGGTGTTTTTTGTACTGATGATTTTTTACATTTGCTTGGGCCTGCTCAATAGGAGCTGTTCGGTTTTTCTTTTATCCCAGCCGACATGTCAAAAAAATTGTGCCCCCTTTTTATGGAAATATGTCGCTGATGGCAACTGTACCTTAGGATGTTTTTAATGCTTTTCAAAACCCACCCAAACTATGGGAGTTGAGGAGTTCTAAATGGATTTTAAATAGCGTGGGATGAAATCGGGGTTGTTGCACTCCATTGTTTGCATAGCCACGATCCTCGTCAAAAGTTTTGATTTTGGTTTTTCAACTGCGTAAATGTCACGTGTAGTCCTCGTCTGTCGCCTGTCTCTGCGGTTGACATGGACGTGTGATTCCAGGAGGGAAGTGGTTGGGTGGTGCAGTGGTTCAGTGGCTCAGTGGCTCGGGTGGCCCAGTGGTTGCGATTGGCCCGGCCGTGTTGGGGTTAACCGAGTTAAGAGTGCGATAAATATCTAAATGCCGTCATTTGCCTCATCAAGGGGCGTTGATGTTTATCCAACAGTGTATTTGTTTGTTTAATTGACAACGGATTGGGCTGAGAGTGTGTCGAATCCTTTGTGCAGGACACGTGGAATGCTGCGGTGTCGGTCAGGTCCGATCTGACTTGGTTCTGCGAATAATTGGCACGCGTGAACCAAGTGAGATGGTTGCAGATTTGGATATAGTGCACTTTGTTTGATGTTTTTTTTTGGAGGGATCAATTTGTATACAAAAATTTATAATAAGAAGAATTACTGCAGGGACTTTCCGATTTTTTGGTTTCTGTAATTATGATGATTAAAAATTTAAAAACCAAAAGAAATTTCTAAAGTCAATGGTGCGAAAAACACTAATTTTTTATTAAGGATAATAAATGTCATTTAATTTGTTGCAATTACATTTCAACCTTGGGTAACAATAATGGCGCATAGCTCCTCCAACACCTCAAAAATAAATTGCATTACAACAGAAATGCCCGACACTAAAAAGCAATTCTCTCCACTATATCCCTGCACTTGAGCCACAAAAGCCGGATAAAAAACAAACCAAGTACAATATGCAAAATAAATGCTCAAATAATAAAGCGAGCAGGAGCAACC